GTTGTTGCCCCTCACTATTCACTCATGCAAAGTTGTATGTGGAGTGATTCGTGCTGCATGTTTGAGTCATCTTTAATCGTTTATTTTCAAGATGCTTTGCCAATCAACTACCAATTTCATGCCCCTTGCTCTGTATTTACCAATTTATTTCCCTTATCAGTGATACATGTAGTCAAGTCATTTTGGTGCAAATGGGGAAAAAAAATCGGAGTCTCGCTAGTGTGATTTGCAGCTATCTATCAGAGTTGCCGACTCTTTATTGTGATGACATTTAAGGAGACGTCAGCTCCTATTGGGCACCACAATTTTTTAACATAAATGTCAGCAAACTATTTTTATTTTATTTATTTTTATGTTAAAGGTGCTTTTTTATGCAAACTTGACTCTTGTGAGTTTTTAGTCATGTTCTAATGCTGTTACCTCATCAAAAACAGACCTGGAGTTGTGTTTTGTTTCATTCACACATGTTTGAGTAATCCTTCATTATTAGTCTGCCTACATCTTCAAAAGTAGGTATTTTTGAGCTATAAAACCACCTGTAATTCAATAAATGTAAGGCAGAGCTGTTTAATGTCACAATGTGGAACAGTCAAGCCAGAGAAGTGACATATCCATAGAAACAAGCAGGTGACAAAACTCCAAACCGAAAAGGTGCAGAGTCAGATTTGGGACAGTAGTTCATCTTCGAGTTAAGACCTGCTTAGTCTTTATTTAAAAGTGTACCGGATTTTTTATGTCTTAAAAATGTGAAAAACAGAACTAGTTCAATTTCAAAATGGTCTCTTGTGAATTTAAAATCATGTTAAAATGTCGTTACCTCATCAACATCTACATCTCCAAAGCTCTAAATGCTCTGTACCACCTTGTGATGTCATGTGGTGGTAGTTTTCAAGTTAACAGCTACGTTTCACCTTTAGTTCAGTAGAGATCGGCAATTCCAGGCCTGAAATCATCCGGATAATTCTAATGAAAGTGCATGGTGTTGAGCATTACTACGTGACATCACAAGGTGGAACAGTGTGTTTTCAGTTTAAGAGAAGAACACATCTTAAACGTGTGTGAATGAAACACAATCCAGATATTTTTGTGATGAGGAAACATTATAACATAGAAAAATAGCATAATATGAACCCTTTACATTCAACAATGTAAAATGATATCACCTAAATAGAGTAGATGTATTCATATTTTAGCGAGAAATGCAATGTTATGGTGAAGAAACTGTGTCGAATATGATGCTGATTCTGTTCCTTCACTCTTGAATACAGCTGTCAATTTCCTCACTAGTAAGAAGACACTAACACTCAAGCTACACATGCTGTATTTGGCTCTTTTTAAAATTCTCCATAGGGTCTGTTAATAAAAATAGCCATCTTGTTTGGGTGACATAAGATCAATACACACGGCAATGCTATATCCCATTCATATTTATGAGAACACTAGCTTGAATTCCGTATAGTTACATATCCATGAGTCCAATTCAATCTTTCTTTTCATATCCTTGTTCTTCGGTGTTCCCATACTATTTTATTAAATCCTATGCGTTGCCATTTCATTGTAATGGTGCAATTTATATGTATAGGTAGTTGCATGCTAAGTTCAAGGGCTGTAGAGTAGTAATGGCTGCTTACGCTGTTCTGTTTTGTGGCCTTGGTTCTTGGAGCTGGGGCGATGGGAGTCTGGGAGAAAATGAGCAAAGACGGCATGAAACTTTGATATGTTTTGACAGGAACGCGGCGCAATTCATTTGATTCAGTTGAAGATATGAGGGAGTCTCAAAGTGTGGTGCGCAGGCTGCTTCTGGTGCTGCTCTTGGTACTCTGTGGTTGTATTTACAGTGAATACAATGTGCATTTAAAGTACTGATTTTGACTTCCTTTATGCTACTTAAGGTCATAGACTGTAGAAAGAAGAGGATTAAGGGAGTGTGACCAGTCCAGTCAAATGACTGCAATCCAGTCAAATGAAGCTCATATCGTTAGTGGTTATAGGGGCAAATTTAGAGTTGGTTCCATACATAGATGGTATATATAAATGGACATACGGTTAGGCGAACGTCCTAACCACAAAAGAAGTTTTCATTCAGTAGCTCTTCAGGCTACTGACTTACATTGTAATACTGGGGCCCCTCTCTCTGTAACTGCTGCTGTGAGCCTCGTCATCTTGGTCATAAAATGTTCATATTAACCCACTCTATGTGATCCTGGTGGGGTTTTTTTGTTTGTTTGTTTTGTTTGTTTTTTGCTAATTTGTCATCAAAAAAATCCTATTCCTAATATAGAGCCTGGCTCCAGATTCACTCCTGTAACTGTTAACATCGTGAGCCTCATTTAAGTGGAGCTGAACACTATGGGTGATGTCACGTTCACTTAGTCCACTTTTTATACACTTCCATATTAGGATTAGGAATATATTGAAAATCAAAATGACGAGGCTCACTGCAGCAGTGACAGAGAGAGGGATGACAGTTTTTCAATGTAAAGTCAATTGGAAATTGGAATCGTCGGATTCTGTTTTACCAGGTTTAGACCCTAAGTTAGCCTCGCTTTCAACATTTAGTATTGATATAAACTTAATTTAGTTCTAGTTTGGACTTTTTTTGGACAGTCTGATTTATTCCAAATTTAGAAGTGCTTCAGTCCAAGTAAAACTTGGTCTTTATTTCAGTACCATTTCATGCTGGTTTAGACCAGTTTAAGTCCTGGTTCAGACTAAAGGTTCAGGTATGTTATTTTTGTTTGTTATTTTTTAGTCTCAAGTGTGAACACAGTCTTGCCTTCTCTTTTGGTCCATAGGTTTGTGTGGCAAATCTCTATTCATCTCTATCATCTAAATCTCTATCTCAGAGGGATATCAGCCTGGTCCAAACTCCCTCTATCAAACCTCAAACCTGAACCAAACAAGATCGTCCAATCAGATTAGTTTTTTTGAGCGACAGATGTGAAATGAAGGAATTTATTGGTCACTTATCATTTTGAATAAAATCTAGTTTATCTCACCTCCGATAAACAGTTTAGTGCAGACATGTCAGACTCAGGCCCGGGGGGCAAATTTGGCCTGCAGTATAATTATATTTGGCCCACGAGATCATATCAAATATGAATTAGAGCTGGCCCGCAGGCTACAGCTACATTATATAGAGACATTATTTATTTAAAATGTTGTTATTATTTTATATTGTGCTTGTTCTGGATTCAATGTTTAAGCAGAACTATTATTAAACATTTATTTTAAGAAAAGGTTTAACATGACATATCTCAAAAGAAGAGAAAACATGCAGAGGTTGAATTTTCTCAATAAATATTTTGTTTGGCCCATGACTTAGTCCCAGTTTTTAATTTTGGCCCTCTGTGAATTTGAGTTTGACACCACTGGTTTAGTGCTTTGCTCATTGCAGGAATTGGCACCATTTTTCAGTCCATGTTGTTATTTTCTTCTTTTCTTTTTTCCATCCATATTAGTTTTGATGCAGGGTCAGTAATGCCCATTTGAACAAGCAGAGATTCACCGATGGCCACACTCACATCTTCAGAAAGTATAGAAGTGTGTATTCAGGATCCATGGGGCTGTTCCAAATCCAAGGCTGTGCACATGCATATATACATACAATACATACAATACATACATACATACATACACACATACACACACACACACACACACACACACACACACATTATATTATTTTTGCTTTGCTTTTGTTCATTCTGGTTCCAGTGTAAGATCTTTCATCAGTTATCAATCCTCGTCAATAGGTCACACGTGGATGACCAAATGTGTGCATACACAATTTTAGCCATTTCAGACCTGTTAAAATGCTCCCTGCTTTAGTTTGTACATCATTTTGCCCTGCTCCGATATTGGTGTCATTGTTTCAAAATTGTCACATTTCCTGATGTATAAAGCTTGTGAATTTCTAAACACACATAACGTCCTTTTGTGCTACACACTGGATTACTAGCACTGTGACAAAAGTATGTCTACTATGCATGCTACTTGCTATTAGCTTTACCATTATGGCAAAATTGTAAAAAGCACTTGTAAACTCATCATGTTAAATAATTAGGCTCAGAACTTGTTTGTGGCGTTCACGGTGACTCTGGTCTTTGTTCAGTTGTGGCGTGTAGGGAGGGTGCTGTCTGGGACCGCTGGATTGTCGGCGTGTTCGCAGTGACTCAAGTTGTTCAGTTGTGTCTAGAAGTGGCACATTGCACTCGCTTTTCCAGTTCGTTCCTTCGTTCCATTCCGCTGTCTGCTCCGTGCATGTTTGCGTGCGTTGCGGGTGGTGCGGCTTTGTAGTTTGCTGAAGTCATGCTTTGACACCCGAGTGGATTGTGGGGCGCGCAGTCATTTTTTGATGGGGTTGGAGGCTCAAGAGCGCGCCCTATAGCCCAGAAAATACGGTAGTTCTGTTTTTCATGTTTTTAAGACATGTGAACACCCCCTTTTGTTTATACCCAATTTTAGCCATTTCAGACCTGTTGACATCCTGTTTTGTAGTCATGTTTTGTACGAAGTTTTCCCCCTGCTCTGATACTGGTGTCATCACATCAAAATTGTAACCCATTTTTGGTGTACAAAGTTTGCGAATCCCTAAACAGACAGAGACAGCACCTGTGTACAAAGCTGCTCTGATCTAACAGTCAGCTCAGATCACAGGTTTTCCCATAACATCTTTTTATGCTACACATCGTATTACTCACGGCGTGACATCTGATGATTTTACTGCCTGCGGCCGACACCTGATTTCCTTTGTATCTTTCTTTTACATTTCCACATTTTTGTAGTTTCCTGTCTCATCTAGCTCCCAAATAGACCATTTACCGAGCGGCGCATCTTGTATGTAATTAGACTTTACAACAGGTGTTTCACAAAGCTAGCAAACCTGCAATCCAGCCAGGAGCAGATTCGAACACGAAAACAGCAAAAGCATACTCATAATTTTCTCCAAACCAGGAATCCTCAGAATTTGCGGACAGCTGGTTCAGAACAAATGGCTCTGGTTTCTTTTTTGCAAAAACACAAAGGTTTTATTTCACTAAAAGCAGTCTGTACAAAGAGAAAGAGGGACACAGACGTAGAGAGAGTTGTACGGCAGTTTCATCATCTTGGTCGAAGGCTGTCGGAGGAACAAAGGTGTGTGTCACAGTAGGTCGTCGTCATCGAAAAGATCTTCAAAGTCTGTAGAACGGGAAAAAATGAGTATAAGTACACAGACGTAAAGGAAAGTGCAAATACAATATGACTACAATTAATGTTTGTACTTCAATACACCAGTCCATACGTGATCTATTGATTCAACTCAGTGATAGATAGCTTGATCAAAATAGAAACTTTTGCAACTTTTTAATTTTTTATAAGCTGTAATTGTTATTTTCAATGCTCTGTACCCGATTTTTCCCCATAGATTTATTGTATAAGCAGCTCTTGAGGTCCAAATATGTCCACTGTGTACTGCCTAATTAATTAATTAAATTATGAGTTTTATTATGAGTTTTATTATGAGTTTTATTTTTCGATAATCAGGAAGTGCTCTGGTCTGGTCTCCAAAAGTTGTGGAAAGTGCTCATAAACTTATCATGCTGAACAATTAGGAAGTTCAGAGGGCAGGAGTGAGGAAGAACTTTGGACCACCACTAAAAATGTGTAAAAAAAAAAAGTTCATTTAAACGCAGTAAACATCTGGTAAAGCGCTTGTGATCCTTTGTTTAAGTAAAATAAGATTAGATTCTTTAACACTAAGAAGAGTTAAACATGCTAACTGTGAAAAAGTTTTACACATCTAAATATGGACTTTTCTTTAGAGAAAATTTTGATATTGGATTATGCTCAGACTCAAAGGAATTCAACTTTGAAAAAATTAACTTTCAATATTCCCCCAAAGTTGGCATTCTATCATGTTTTTCAAAGTAAATATTGGTTGTTTGGTTCTTCAAAATATGAGAAGCAAGCAAAAAATCTTCAGACTGACAATTTTACCAGATTGCTCTTATAATATTTGGCAGATTTGGATACATTTAAAAATCATTATTTATTCATTTTTAAACAGCAGGGGTGCGTCTGTCTCTGTGGGAGATTTGAGGTTGTGTCTGCACTCTAAGATCTTGGACTCAAACACCTTAAAATCTCTGGAGGGCCCATAAAAAATTAACAATCGTAAACAGAACTTGTGTACTCTTTCACCATCTTGACTTTCAAATGTTTAAAAGGTTCAAAATGGAACTTTTCCGGTCGATGGTCCACCACTTAGACCTTAACACAACTGCCTCTGTGGAGATGATCCTGGTGACGCCAGCAGACTAACATCATAGGCCAGATCTGTGAAGAGGCGAGCCAACTCACAGCAAGATTTCTTTTTTTCTTTTTTTTAAATAATGCCAGAAGGATGTACTATAGAACATCTAAGGGCAAGCAATAACATCTCCATGGAGACAAGAGGACCTTCCACCAGAAAAGTTACATAAGGCACCTTTAAATTCTAATATTCTAAACCCATATCTTCTTCAAGAACTAGGATATATATTTTAAACTTGACATTTCAACTTTTGATGAAACTCTTTGCTGTGATGGAGCGAAATGGCACATTCGCCTCTTGGTAACTTAAAGACCAAACTTTCTGCAACTTTCGTTTATTACTCATCACTCGAGTATGACTAATACCAATTAGGATATTGGACAGAAAAGAACTTGTAAAATGCCAAGACACGATGCAGACACTGATATTGACAACCAGAGAAATACAGATGGAATGACCAAATCATTTTGTGGAGACGGAAACTAACAAATAAACTTTTAATAAAACTTTTTAAAATGTTTTGAAAGAATATGCACTAGTATATGTGTGGGAATCACAGGGTTTCTCACTTTTAGATACAATACACGCCTCACGATATGATTTCATTATATTACGGCGGCACGTATAAACCAAAAAGATACCCAAAAATACTCTTGGCGATATATATTGATACAGCAGCCCATGGTAATGATTTTCTACTCTTAGAAAATGACATCTTTAAAGTGGACATGTTTTTCCTGTATAGTACCTCGTGTTGTATTGAAAAGTACATTAAATGCATAGACTACATCATAAATTATGTGTGGAGTCATTTGTTTCCTTGTAGCATCATAATGAAAGATGCATGTGGTGGAAGTATACCCCTGTGCTCCTACACAGATGTTCTCTCTAAGCGCTGCCGTGGAGTTAAATATAGGTTCAATTACGGCATAAACAAGCAGATTTTCTCTTATCATCTCTCTGTATGTCTCGCTACTTGGACTTCATTATTAACAAGCAACAATACTGCAATTTAAAAGGGGGCATATTATGTAAACTCAGGTTTTAGAGTTGTTAATCATGTTCTAATGGTGTTCCCTCATAATTCATTTACTGACACACTTTATTTAGTTGCATTTAGATTGATTCATGCGTGTTTGAGTAATCCTGTATTGTCCTGCATTCGAGGCTTGAGTGTTCAGAAAAGGTCTGTTTTCACCTACTTCATCTATTATTAAAGAAGACCTGTTGTGCTTGTGCCTGCCATATACCTAGTTATGATCTAAGGCACCCATGGAGCTTCATCTTAGAATTTGGACATAAAAAATGAAAAGAAACACATCCGCTGACTTCCGAGTTGAAAACTGTGGTGTCCAGTGGGAGCTGACGTTGCCGTGAATGTCATAAGAGATCAGCAAAATGGCATCTTACTGAAAATAAGAGATAAAAGACTGCTCCAATATGCACAAATCATTCCAAATACAACTTCAGGTGAGTAAATGGTGAAGGGAAACAACGTAACATGGCTAAAAGTTCTGAAAAGTTGATTTTGCAGAATAAGATTTGCTTTAAGCTGAGGCACCAGTTGCAAAAACTGTCATTGTGTCCTTAGGCAAGGCACTACAACCCACATTGCCTAGTATGAAAGCAGTGTGTGTGAGTGATGGTGGTGGTCGGAGGGGCCGATAGAGCAGATTGGCTTATCACCACCAGGTCTGGAGTGAACGAATAATGCTCTGTAAAGCGTCTTTGTGGCATATGTCTGTGAAAAGTGCTATATAAATAAAAACCTTGCATAAAAACTTACTTTTAGATCAACAATACAGAGTCAGAGTAATGATCTCCATGTTAAAACTAAATACCCAGAAAAACATTTCTTTTTTATTTAAACTGTAACTATTCAATCGAGTTGTATTGTTTTACAGGGAGCTGTCAATCTTGACACCAGATAAGTTTTATATGGACCACAAAGCAGGTTTAAAGCCTTACATTGAATCGGTGCAGTGTGACTTGTTGGTCACATGAACACTGGACATTTGACACACATCAGCGACTTATATATATCAGATTTTAGCTGCAAACCTTTTCTCAAATTCTCCATTGAAATGAATGGGGTTCATGTGTGCCACCACAACAAAAGTGCAGGGATGTATATGGTGAACTGATATTTTGCAGTAATGTAAAGCTGGGGTGTTCTACATGTATGTCTATGGCGGAATGTTCTGCAATTACCATGGTGACACGATGCTCACATTAGCAAACATAGCCAAAAACGTTTTAAGATCTGAAAACTCAAGAAAAAGTACAAAATGGAACACATTTTCTGATAAAATTCTGACTGTAATGTTATGTGTGAGGGACTTGTTTAATAGCACTAATCATCTCACTTGTTCTAGTTCCAACTAAGTCAGTTCTTTCTGGGCAGATTGTTTCAAAATAAACCTCAGATGAAAGTCTAATAAAGCACAAAGAGTAAGAGCAGTGCCTACATAATAAGACACTCCTATTCTAGTCACACCAGATAAAAAAGGAAGCAATGAAAAAGACAACATCTATGAGTTTGTTATATGCAGACTTATACACGCATTTCTTATAACAGTAATATGTAGGGGACATACATTAAGTTCAAAATTAGCATCTATCATTTCTCTCTTTCTACATATAGTGAATGTGCCCCTAGTGGTACTGTGAGCTCTCTCCAGGCACAGTTAGTGACGGTAAATTGGTGATTCGTAAGCTTGAACACATTTTTCCAATTTTAGCCCCCATTCACCGGCCTCCTGTGTGCTTTTGGATAGATTTGAACAGTTACTCCTTAATGCCTCAGTGTGATAGTCCCATGTCATTGGTCGTCCCGGTTGCGGTCACTCTAGCAGAGATAAAAGGTGACCAAGCCCTCTCTCAGATTCTGTTTATTTAAAGCATATATTAAAAACCGTTATTTTCCCCAAGGCTTTAAATAGTTTGAGATGTTAACTTTTAATAATAATCATGCATTAGACAGAAGAGAAGTTTCATACAAGGTAATAAAGGTGAAGTGCCTTGCCTGAGAATACAACAATAGTTAACTTTTTTTGTTTTTGTAATTTTGCAACATGTAATTTCTGGTGGAGTGTCACCCTCTTGTCTCCACAGAGATGTTCTTGTTTTGCTTGGAATGCTTCACAATATGGTATTAAAATGATCTATCTCTAAAGCAGGCAAGCAGGTAACACCAGGCCAAGTTACAGGTCAGATCTGTGGAGAGGCAACCCCGCTCACAATAAGAATACAGCAATAGAAATACAAATCTAACTGAATGTCAAGTTTGATGCCTTATTGTGAAAACTTTAATGCAAACCAATAACATCAAGGAACAAGCAGACAATGCACTCAACCAAAAGAATTACAGAGTACATCTTTAACCTCATCACTGTCTTTTAAAATATGTATTTGTTAGAATTTCCTTGTTTTGTAGCACTTAGATCATCTTATATGTTTAAATGTTTGAAGTGTGAGATGAATCTGCATACTATCTCGCCATTATCAATAGGGATGCACCGATACAATACTGGTGTACATGCATCACAAATATTGGACTTCCGGTCATTGTGCAATGCATACTGGGAAGGACATTCTGAAAAAGTGAGCATCAAACCGCCATGTTTGTTTTCCCAGTGGGATGTGTCTATTAACAAAGCCAGTCTTTTCTGGTCTTTTGAATCATATCACTTTTGTTTCTGGTTCTGATATTGTCATATTTTAGTTTTGGGATTCGGACATGGGTTGTTGGATGTCCTAACAGCGGAAACGGCTTGAGAAATTTGTTTGCGAACTAACTGCAAAAGGGAATCAGGTCTGTGTGACTGCAAACCTCTGTTTCCCTTCCGCTGTTCGCTGCAAACTTGGGATGATTTCTTAGGCAGTCAAAGGTTTGCTTTTTGGTCCTTCCTGTGGATCAATACTGCCCATCGCCTTCACCTTTCACTATTTTTCAATTCTGTTGGGAAGGGAAACAGTTTGAAGGGAGGTTTGCAGTCACACACCTTTGATTCCCTTTTGGATTTATGGAGGTCGCAAACTTCTGAAGCCCATTTCTTAAGTTGTTTTCACTGTTAGGACATCTAACAGTCACACAATTACAATGTCTGAATCCCAAAACTAAAATATGACAATATCAGAACCAGATACAAAAGTGATACGGTTCAAAAGACTAGAAAAGATTGGCTTTGTCAACAGACACATCCCACTGGGAAAACAAACATGGCAGTTTGATGCTCACTTTTTTTTTGAAAATCCTTCCCAGTATGCATCGCGCAATGACGGAAATACGGAAGTCCGAAATTTGTGATGCATGTATTGGATATTGTGCCAATACTGAAAAGTAGATAGATATTGAGTTCCAAATATTGATTCAGCCGATATCCTGGTTGGACTTATAAATCGATGCAATAAGATTATTTGCTGGTCATTGTTGATCCAGACGTTTGATCATATTTGAATTCTTATTTATACAAATTTCAGTAGTATTTCAGAGAGATAAATAATAGACACATATTTAGTAAAATTTTTGTTTAAAGGAAATAAAATGCTGCTGCACTGAAAATGGTTAATATATAAACTTAAAGCTATAGTATTGGAATCTGTATCAAAAATGAAAAAGCTGAATAGGTGACTTCATAATTAGCTGGGATAGTTTCAGTTGCTTTATTACTCAGTCCCGAAAAAGCTGAAAGCATCTCATACTCTCCATGAATATCAGCACAGCCTATTTTAATCACACCAAATTAGCCTTAAGTGTACTTCATACCATTACGATATCGCCACATGCAAATTAGCATGAAGAAACCTCATAAAACTCCCCTGTCTGTGAGCGCTGCTGTGATCTCTGTGCTTCCACCGCGGAGCAGAGAGACATGGATCTGTGAAGGCCCCGGGAGCTGGCCTGCATAAGCCGCGTTAACAAGCCCGGATGCAGGCATGTGCGGTGTGGAGGTGCCCCGCTGTGCTTCACTTTGACACTGCCTATAAACCCACTTTAACCATCTTCCTACTGTGTGGCGCTCATACCGGCCTTTTTAACAATCAGCTCTTTTCTTTCTAGGTCATAGCTGTGACTAGTGCTACTACTGCTGCTGCTGCTGCTGCTGAGGCTAACTTTTCCAATTCCTCTACTGCCTGGAAAAAACACATTAACAGCTTAAGTGGCATGAATGAGAAATCCGCTTACTCGCTTAAGATTAATTAAGATGCAATTTTCGCACTCTGATGAAATAAGGATTATGTTTTAAATTATGGATTGAACTGGGTTCTACATTGGTGTGATAGTTTAATCAAATCTAACATGTGTACATTTTATTTATGTAGAAAAAAAAAAGTTCAGATATTTTTTCCCAGGTTGACAAAACCTGGAAGGGAGGATATGAATGATCGTGGAACTAATAGTACGTGCATTAACCTCAAAAGAAAGAAAGTAACAAGAAACACAATTAAACAGTAAAAGAAAATAAACAAATAAGGTCCCCATGAAGACATTTGTCCTCTGCATTTGACCCATCCTTCAATACCACTGGGACATTCTGTCAGGAGCAGTGGGTGACCACAGAGCAGCACCCGGGGACCATGTTGAACTAGTCTTGGTCAGGACGACATTAGCTGGAGGATTTAACCTAGATTGCATAGTTTGGGTTGATGGGGGAAACTGGGGTGTCCAGAGGAAACCTACCCAGACACAGGGAGAACATGCAAACTACACACAGAAAGGCCCATGTTACATCAATCTGCCCAGGGCCAATGCCCAGATAGAAATGAGAATTTTCAGGCTACAACCTAGTACATCTTTCCTTTTGGTTATTGTTTATTGTTCACTGTATTATATATATTAAAAACAAGAAAAGAAAAAGAAAAAAACATGCCATACCCAGGAGAGTACTGTGAGAGTGCTTGCCACAGCTACTGATATTACTCTGTGCCGGTGTAATACAACTAATAAGCACAAATCACTTCATTTTCCTCACCATTAAAGAAATCCGAGTGGACCGCTTTCTCGTTGGCTGCCAGGTCCATGAGCAGGCCACTGCTGCCCCCTGCCTGTGACACACAGAAACAACAACATAAGACAGGGAGCTCTCAGCCAAAATCCTAACCTTAACTCTGTTTTAGTGTGACCAGAATTTCAAAATCAAAAACAGGGACATCCCCTTCAAACATGTGAGTCAGTATAATCACAGTTTATTTGTGTTTTAGTCATTTTTAAGCAGCTTTTCAGTATTTATTTAAACAAATTACAATGTGTGCCTCACTTTACTGTTCGCAGAGATCAAACTGGTCAAAAATTGAGGCACCTGGGACATTCCTGATGTAAAACTGGGACAAATCAATGTTTTTTTGGATAAATCCGCTGGGACAGAGGACACAGGGCTAAAAACTGGGACTGTCCCGGGTAAACAGGGACGACTGGTCACCCTACCCTTTACGAACTCTCTGCTGAACAAAACCAGCCTTTTATCGAGTCATTATAACTTAGATTATGATGGCGCTGATTACAAATTATTTCATATGTATAAGATGCAAATAAATATCATTTTCTGAACAATTGGCTAATGAGGTTAGAGACTACACATTGAAACAAATAACCGACTAAAGAAATGAGTATGCGTTCATAACTCATGTAGAATTATTTAGAGGAGTGCTCTATCTGTTTACCCCATGACTTACTTAGAGTTTATCGTTATTATTAATTTAAAATGTAAACAAAGGTGAGGCAAAACAGCTAAGAGCTCAAGTTAGCGCCATTATTACGGTGTAAATGTGTTTTATACTGTACACATGCACAATCTGAACGATCTCCCGTAGTTAAGCAATAACAAGCGCACCAAAAGGTTTCAATAATATCATACAGTATTTTCTCACGTTAGCATTAGCCACTACGTTTAATTTAGCATATTTAGCTCACAGACCTCATCCAGATCCACATATGGGCCGGCTCCTTCGGGAAACATTTCATCCACAGCAGGCTTCATGTTTTAAAAGCCTCAATAAAAAAAGAAATTAATATAAATTGACGTTTGAAGCCCGCTAAGATAGCAGTATGCGGGGATGTAAACAAACAAGATGTGCAGCACCGAATTGTGTCCGGGCGACAACACGGAACGGATAAACGGTACCTCTTCTTAGTGATAACACATTTTAAAAGAAAGAAAAGAATGACTGAATGACTGAATGGATAAATAAATAAATAAATAAATAACAATGTCACAGATATTAAGTTTATTCATATACATTGAATATACACTTTATTGCACATTACAGTAACATTAAATTACAAATATAAATGTTACTTGTTTATCTAATTCTAACTGATAGTAAATCGGTTTATTGTGTAGAATATTTGGAAAAAGACTACTTAAAACATGCAAAATAAATCCACAAGAGACTACTTTATTTTATTTCTATCATTCTAACACCTGTGTCAATCACAACCAGCCTGTATGGGTTTGTTCTCGCTCTTTCCTGACAGATCTCATTGCTTCCTAGTGCTCGTGTCCTTCGTTGGTCTCATATCCGAGGGTGTCCCCGAGGCGCTGGTGGGCGTAGAAGGCCCGGGCCAACTCATTGATGCGGTCATAGGCGCCAATGGATTTGAAGTACTCCACATAGTTCCAGAAGTCTGAGGTGGAGTAGGGCCAGTAGGGGACAGCAGGAGCTTCATCGTAGGGAACTGAAACAAATCAATGAGGTTTAGTAATACTTCAAAAATATAATTGTAATGACTGGAATTTATCATAAAAACTCAAGTAGACTGGGAAAAAGGCAGAATTTGTATTTTACTCACAAAACGATGAGACCTTAACTATATTTTTCTATCATTCACACCTTTTTCTTTATTTTTTGTAGAGCAGTTACATTTTAAATAAGTAATTGACGATGATCTATTTTATATACTGAATTCACAGCACCTTTATTGCAGAGAAGGGTTTACTTGGATTATCCTGATTTAGTGTTAATGTATATGATGTATTATAATATCTTATTATTTTGCTTTTTTTAAGCATACAATTTCAACTGTGTTGTTATGACTATACTTTTTAATGAAATGCTGAATTACTGTCATTATTGGTACCATGAATTTTACTAAATGTGTTTGTACATAGAAGGGAAGTGCATTTGTAGTATAAGTTACAGTATGCAACCTTTTGAAGGTGGCACATCAACTGCGCGATTTCATGGAAAAAGAAAGTTAAAACCATACTTAGGAGGGGCAATAATGTCTTTCCCCTTGATAAAATTCACCAAACATCCTCTTTGTTCCGGCTTTAAAACCTCAATCTTGGGAATCGTTGCCAACACAGAATGTCTGGCTTTGTCTACATCCATCTCGACCGCTTTGCTTTACTGTTGTGCTGTTCAACAAAAGGGACCCAGACAGGAGCTTGAGTTTGACATCATGGCTTCACAGCTCTTCGCTGATTGGCTGATGCGCAGTCTACGACTTCCGGGATTATTGCAAACCGTCTAGTGTATTTTGATTCCTGACCTAGTCGCTGGAGAGAAATGAAACTGAGTGAAGGCAGTAGATGGCACCAGCCTGGATAGAAAATTGTAGCTATATGACCATAATTTCCATGAAAACTCAATAATAAACACAAACAAATAAAAACAAAAACCTATTTTTAATTTTGTCTATTTTTTTTTTTACTTAAAAGTTACATATTGTGGCTTTAAGGTATTTTAGTTGACTACTTCACAAAAATTATATAGTTAATTAATTAGAATCGTTTTGGAAAATATATATTTGAAATCCTTCACACGAACACCTCGTTATATGACCAGAATATGTGCTGATAAACCAACTTATAAATATACGAATGCGCTTGGTTTATGACATAATTTTAGCATGTCAACAATAATATATGATTTTTGCCTACCTCCTTCTGGGACGATAATCCTGGCCTCTGCGAGAAGAGGAAAAACAGACAGAAGTTAGCATTCCCAAACATGCCACGTAAATTTAGGCACAAAGGTGGGATTGAGCTCTGGGTCCTGGCAAACGGAGCCTTCTCCCAGTGGACTGACAGATTCCTGCTCCCTCCTCAAATATTTTTACTGACCATTCACACACTGTAGCACACACAGTCTCTGGAACTCAGCACAGACAGACTATTGTACAAAAAATTTATTATAAAATTGGTAAAAATAACATGGTTGCTATTTTGCATTTATACATTACTGATTTGTGTTATAAATATTGGGAAAACTTAGATCTATGAAAGGAAAAGTTGTAGTTTATAATACCAGTGATGTCAAATAGAATTTATTACAAAAGAAACTAAACATGTATTGAATTTGTATATTAATTAGCATCTGGGTTTAATATTTATAGCATATTTTACTTATTTCATTCTCATTTCAATTGCAGATAAAAATTTGTTGGAAATTTTAGTGTGCACTATGTAACATTTCAGGTGTAGAGTCTGTCAAATGCTTGTTTCCATGGAGATGTTATTCCCTTGCCCAGAATGCTCCACAGTATGGTATTTAATTTATCCAACTCCATGGAGACAAGTGTGGTGCAAACAGATCAAGTTGCACTTCAGATCTGTGGAGAGGCAATCCCGTTCACTGTAAGAATGCATGTTTTTCAAGGTATTTTTGAGCAATAAAACCATTATGCAAAATAAATGAGTTAAATGCAATACAGTGGAACATTCTGGGCAAGGGAATAACATCTCCATGGAAACAAGCATGTCGTGGTCCCTTCATCAGAAAAGTTACATAGTGCATCGTTAAGTCATGTCAATAAAAGTAAAACTCACCGCTGAAGTAGCAGGCGAAGATACAGAGGAGAGCGCTCAACCAGACCAGCCACTTCATAATGACCTTAAAATAAACACAAGAAATGTATAAAACTTGCAAAAAAAATTTTTATTGTAATTCTAAAAAAGTTTTGACAAATTGTACCTGTGTAAAGTCTCGTGCTGTTTTGTAGAACTGCTGCTGTTCACCTGGTGGGTCACTGTGGAGTGTGGGGGTCTGTGCACAGTGGTCCCAACCTCTCTCACGTGCACGAGCATTCTCACGTGCACAGGGTTACACAGTCCAGAGCTCCAGAACAAAGTTTATACACAGCTCCTACTTCAAGCTGTGTGCAAAAATGTTGGTGTTTGCTTGATTTTTAGAAGGGTAAAGAATAATATTTTATACACTAGGCAATGAATAATGAGTCTTGTGTTTTCTTTATTTATTCCTTAAGTAAGTGCACAATATATTCTTTAGGTGATCAAGTAAGTAAGAAAATGGTTAAATATTCTTAGTATTTAATACCTTAGATACAGTTTTTTTTTTACTTAATCAGGTTTATGAATAAATCCCGGTCAGAAGGTTAAAGTATTTTTTATTGTATATTATTAAAGAAAAGTGCAAAGTATGAATGCAATCACAGAATCAACCATAACGATGTCTAATTGAAGTATTTAATCCATCTATAATAGGTTCTAATAGACTTATGTCACAAAAAAGATGAGATAACAACTTCCCAGGTCCGTTTTTCTTCATCTAAATCTAAATCATTGTAGCGTTGTTATGTTCGGCTAATCAACATTTCCAACCATACCTCAGTTTGCATTATTTCCCCACTGATGCACAACTTCGAATGCACAGGGTACATGTGATTAGAAGAGATGAGGTGCCAAATTCAAGATTCATGCTGATCACATTTACTTCAATGGGTCTGATCACAGTCAGTCGGCTAACCCAGTGTCGGTAATTAGACTGGAAGTCGTCATCGCATGTTTCCAAATGTCGTCCTGGTTTGTGACATAAGCATGAATAGAGCCTATTAGACTGACCGACCTGGCCCTGTTGTATTCTCACACTTTGTGCCTGTCAAAAACACAGTACTTCTGGATTCACCTCAACTTGAGACTCTTGCTCTTATCAAACTTAATGTGGACTTTGACCAAAGATGCTTTTTGTGATACGGTCAAACTATTTTTGTATTTTATGAGATTTTATGCAAATGTATTACAGTTTTTTCTTGTTGTAGAGTGGGCTAAACTCACTGGGTGATCTCACTTTGGGACCTCCTGTTTGTTGGTGGGGATATGAGCACCTGGACCGGCAACCATTTTGTGTACTGTGGTCCAAAGCAAAACAAATTATCTGACAAAAGCTTTTTTCCGAAACATAATTTAAAAATAAAAAATGCTTTTGGACATCGGCCATCTGAGTGTGCTATGCATTTTTTGACTTTTGGATTGCTGTTTCTTGCATTTGCACCTCTGCAAGAACTTTGGTGTACGTTTTCTGTTTCATTTGTATTCTCACACTTCACCACTATACTGTATGCTCTATACTTTACTTCTGTATGTACAGTGTGTCAGCTTTGACCGGACAGAAGAAGAGCAGAGAGCACAGGTGAGTCTGAACAAAGGCCAGGTGAGGTGAGGGGGAGGGCAGATTTCACATCTGCAATCTACTGGTGAAAAAAAAAGCCTACACATGGTAGCTTTAGTAGACTTCTGATTTCTAATTAAATAATTTACACTTGAAAGATGCACTATACAACATTCCTGATGGAGGGGCCACCGGCTGTTGCATTGCCTGGAATACTCCGCAGTATGTTACTACATTTAACTATATTGTATTTATCACACTGGCCTGGTGGCTGCTTGTCTCCATGAACATAGATATATATTGTAAAACATTCCATTATCATCTCCATAGACATAGTGCACCTTTAATTTCAAGTTAAGACAAAGCAGTTTTCAACTATACACTCTGGCTAATGTGTAATGCATATCCCAATCCACAATAGAATCTCTCTGATTAATGTCACAGCATGTTCAGATCACACCCGCTCTGGTCTGTGGGGATGAGCTGGCACAGTTTGACTCCCGCTCTCTGCAGCTCTGCCTCAGCCCGGGCTCTGGTCTCTACGGACAGGGTACGATTCCGGGCCAAGATCCAGGCAAACTCCACCCGAAACACACGCAAGATGTCAGTGCAGGAGTAGACCACTGAGACGCTGGTGTAGTCTGTGTACAGCACCCAGTACGAGCCCACGGGAGACACTGAGGAAGGGAGAGACATGTTATTACATAATTGATCTACTTATAATGACAGAATAGTAGAAGTGATCCATTGACTTAACTGATTCTGTGCATTTATGACATTTCACCAGCAGATTTTATCATCTCTGCTTTTACTTTGAAACTACACAGCATTTTGAACACTACATGCATTTTTTTTAAAAGCAATGAGCAGTAGGCGGAGATAGGGGGTAGGTGAAAACAGACATTTTCAGAGCACTCAAACTGCAAATGCAGGACAATCCAGGATTACTCAAACTCACATAAATTTACCAAAGATACAATCAAACAAACAATAAAACACAGTTAAAAACTGATAAAAATGTTTACATCTTAAATTTTTCTATTATAAAATACAAGTAATAAAATGATTATCTCACTGTATGCTCAGAAAGTGTGAAATTGAATGTACTGTCAATGTAATGAAAAGTTTCCTGTGTTTTTTTTTTTACCTTGGGATGAGTTGATATTGTGTATTTTTCATATACTTTAATAACTGTATGAAAGCTGGATGGGCAACTATATAAAATGATTTAAATGTGGGTAGATATTGTCTGGAATAAACCACACAGCTCTAAATGACTGCAGTACTTACAGTAGGAGAATCCGACCCCGAGTTTGGCAGGCTCTGACTGGTTTTTGACTACTGCAGTGCCCTCTATTGGTGTTAACGTCCCGGGTATCTCCCTATGACAAAAACAGTTTTAATGGTTATTCTTTTCCTCCCGTACGCACTGCTATAAAAGATAATTTGTTTCATCAAATTTTGAATTTTAAATGCTGCTGAATTTCTTACTTTGAATTTTTAACTCTGAAAAAACATGTTTGAATCTTTTTTCTGAATTCTAAATGTTTGTTGATTACATTTTAAAGGGACAGTTCGGAATTCTGGATATAGAGCCTCATTTCCTAGTGAGCCAGAGTGTTGGAGACGTGTGGAGACACTTTTTAAAATATTCCATCCAGTCCTTGTATTTGCAGAGGTCGCTGGTGCTAGGCTAGTGCATGTCAATGGCCATAGTTAGCCTGCCACTAAAAACAGTCGTACTCACTCCACAAAACACCCAAAACAAAATAATTATAGCGCCAGACTGTCCATGTAAATGTCTGTGCTGATAGAATAATTTTTGAAGTAAAACTAAGAATTTATGCAGCAGTGAGTTGTACTTCCTGATAAAAAGCTTGGCAGCGGCGGACTGATATATGTCAAAATAGTCCCTCAACATGCGAAATTCATGCAATACAAGATATCATACAACACGATACATATCAACACAGACATTCACATGGACAGACTGTTGTAATAATAAATTTGCTTCTGGTGTTTTGTGGAGTGGGTAAGACTGTTTTTAGTGGGAGGCTAAATATGGCCATTGACATGCACTAGCCTAGCACCAGTGACCTCTGCAAATACAAGGACTGGATGGAATTTTTTAAAAAGTGTCTCCACACGTCTCCAACACTGGCTCACTAGGAAATGAGGTCCTATGTCCAAAATTCCGAACTGTCTGAGGGTAAAATTCCCTGTAAAAAATTGCAGCAAAGATCCAAGATGTCAGACATAAGTGAGTTGAAAATTTTAAGTGAGAAAATTACAACAAAAACAAATGATCTTCCATACACTGCCACTTTTAACATAAGTGTGGTTTTCAGTTTTTCCACCATGCCAACCACAAAGCCAGCTCATCCGACCAAAATCTGGGTCCTCATTTTAGAGTAACAATCAAACAATCAATCAGACTCATTCAACTGTATCCACTTCCATCTTAAATGATCTCTTAGTAGCTGCAGAAACCTAAACCTAAAAGCAAACTCTCATACTCACATCTGTTTGTTGATGACCTGAATGGTCCCGTCTTTTCTCAGGGCGTAGTTTGCCTCGATGCACTTCCCTCTCTCAAAGGATGCTGGGAGTTTGGTTATCTCAAACCAGCGGCCCAGGTACTGTCAAAAAATAAAAATGACTCCTAAATATACAGTTTTGTTCAAGATAAGTGGAACATTTACATATTGATAAGTCAATATAGTAATACAGAATAGTAATAGAGTAAGTACAGACAGGACTAGATCCACATATACATTACTGAAACACCTAAACTCCGCCCATAACCACACTGCAATTAAAGCTGCTAAACTGGGCAGTACTAAAGGACTAAAAAAGAGTGATTGTGAAGTGTGATTGGTCTAACAGGTATTTAACCCATGCATGCCAGTCTTATGTGATGTCACCAAGTACGTAAATTGCAAAAGCCACTGAAGGCAACACACACTGAGATTTACTTTTTGACCAGAATATGACCAGCAAATTTACCTAGTTTGCAGTAAAGTCGCCAAAAATGACTTGGAACAGTAGCCCATGCTATTAAAAAACATATTGCTCTGTCTGAAGCATTGTTAGACTTTAATCTGAGCTTTAGTTGAACACAATCTAACAAAGAAGAGTTGATTTAGCTGAACTACAACTAGAAGAGTTTTTCAGTTTTTCTCCCATTTTTGTTGAAAATCATACACCTAAACTGGACCATGAAGGCTCATATTGATCTCAGACTCCTCCTCTTTGTAGTTTTCACACTATTGCTAAAGCGTGCATTGTCACCATAGTAACTGCTGAACATTTCACCATACACATACATGAGGAACACCGGCAGAGTGATGTCACAATATATCAGTGCACAGTTTAGTAGAGAAAAAAGTGGATTTGGGGTTTCATTCCAGTTGAAATATTTGTACTTTAGTTTTGGTCTAGTTGTATGACTTACCCTCTGCAGGTCAAACGGCTGCTGTACATTCACTTGAGGACATGGCCCACAGCTGAAGGTCTGAGCAGACACCAGAGGAGCCACGACGAAGAGGAGGAGGTACATCCACATGACTGCACTGAGATTAGCAAACAGACCATATTCAATAGTATGTAAGAAAGCAAAGTTTATTTATATGACACTTTTCACAGACATGGGTCACAAAGTGCTTCACATACAAAAGATAAAACCAGTAGAAGATACATTCATAATAAAATAAAATGAAGTGATAGCAGCTCTAAACCTGAGGAGGTGGGAACGCTTGTTCAAAGAGTAAAAAAAGAGTGAATGATTTTAGTTGGTTTTAAAAGCATCTACACTATCTAGAGAGCGTAGGTGAAGAGGCAGCTCATTCCAGAGTTTAGGGGAGACAGATTGAAAGGATCTGTCTCCTTAAAACTTGTCTGAGGGACCATTAGTAGGTTTTGGCTGGTGGACCTCAGACTACGGACAGAGGTGTACGGCTTTATCAGATCTGTGATGTAGGCTGGAGCTCTAAAGGTCAGCACAAGGATCTTAAAGTGGACACAAAAAAGAACAGGGAGCCAATGTAAGGATTTTAAGATGGGAGTGATATGAGCTCTCTTACTGGTGCGGGTCAGGAGACTTGCAGCAGAGTTTTGGACAATCTGCAGCCGGGTAAATTCCTTCTCACTCAGACGGGTGAACAGACTGTTACAATAGTTTAGTTTCGAGGACACAAATGCATGGATTATCATCTCTAACTCATCTTTAGAAATCATCTTGTGAAGTTTTAGATATGTTGTTTTTGTATAAGTTGTTTTTAGTTGAATATTATTTTTGAATATTGTTTTATTTATTTATTTATTTAATGTTTTACTAGGTAAGTCAGTTGAGATCACCTTCTCATTTACAATGACGACCTGGCCAAGAGGCAGAATAAAACAAAAGCACAAACAGAAACACTCACACATCAACTATCACATGAAACAGTCAATAGAGATATAAGACAGTGAAACATTTGCAGATTAAAGATATAAAAGTGTTAAAAACATGTGCAATTATCCTGTAAAATACTCTGGATGGAGTGTTTAAAAATCGACAGGGGTAAAAACAAACTAACTTTTAAAGCTGTGAGGGCTTTAGGAATGACCAGGGTCACGTGTCTACTGGAGTGCAGTGTGCGTCTGGAGCTACGGATGTGCAGTCGTGAGCTGAGGTAGGATGGACATTGCTCATTTATAAATGCTTAAGTGGTAAAACACTTAAGCATTTATAAATGAGCAATAACCAGTGGGATAGTGTGCGGGTTTGGAGAGAGGGCCACTTCACCAGAGAGTAAAGTTTACAGTGATGGGTGGTAAACCTGTGACAAAGTGGATGGCTGCATGATAAATCACACTTAGCTTATGGAGCAGTGTTTCTGATGCAGATCTGTAAACTAGATCTCCATAGTCAGTGATCAGGAGGACTGTAGTTTTGACCAAGAGCTCTTTCGCGGGGCGCGTGAAACAGTTTTTATGTCAATATAAGAAACGTATACTTACTTAATACTTACACACTCCAACTGAATACAGATGTGACATGCAAATAAGGTTTAAAAATATGTAACTGTGCACTAAACTGGCACTTAAAAATGTTTTCTCAATTGCAATTTGGATTAAAAATTTCAGAAATAAAATCAGCCTTCATTTATCTCCACTTGTACTCTCAATACTGGTAAGCAAGACACACACAACACAATTTTGTAAACCTAAAATTGAGTCAAACAATGGAAATACATTCATTTTTAAAAAGATAGAAATAATCTCTATTGGTGTATGGGCTGTTAGATATGAAATAGTATAGTAAAGCCCATATAAATATGAAAATACACACACTGAATACATGTGCACGTTCCTTTAGTGACCACACCTGTCTGACTAGTTTTCATTCAGTCGAGTGACTCTCTTTGTTATGTATTACAATAGCAGGTTAAATAAGCTAAAAAATAATGAGAATGGTCTATATGCTCTACTCTTACTCTCTTACATAACACATTTCAGCAGTGCAAAATAAGGATATCAAATTGAATATGTTTTGAGATGCTGTATAATTGCCGGAAAATTTATTATTATATATTAGCTATATAGTCAAGGAACGTAAAATAGTACAAGTAAAATGTCATGTAAATACTATAATGTACTTCTATCCTGTAACTTAAACCATGGATAAGGTCATTCGCAATCATTTTGTAAGGACAAAAACATTTATATATTTGTCTCTGATTTAAACAAATACTCAAAGCTGCAGTTCACACTTTTAGTAACACTGGGTTATTGTGTTATATCTGGGCTGCATTCACTAAAAAAGAGAGTAAATCTGGCCTAAACCAGGACTAAATCTGTACTAAACCAGGTCTAAACCAGGTCTAAGTTCCAAACCAAGGCTTGGCCAATCCTTACACGTACCTGGGAACCACACTGTAACTAACAATGAGAGTTTTAGTGTGAAAAATGACTTGTTGTCCTTACCTGTGGTGTGGTGAGTAAAGGTGAGGTGTAGGTGCAGTCGTGCCTCGTCTTAAAACACTCACAGACCTGCCCATCGACTGCAGCACAGTTCAGGTTACATGAGTCACGTGTGAGAGCTGCCACTAGGGGAATAACTCTAACCGGGTTTGTCAAACATCATTATAGCTACAGACTATAATTCTTCACTTTTATTCTAGGTGAAATCTTTAGTCTTGGTTTAGTCAAAGGTCACACAGCTTTAGTTCACTGAATTTTCTAGGTCCTGTTCAGAAATGTATTATAAAACTTGAGGATAGTTATTGATATTAACTGCTTCATGGATCTGCTCACTCTAGAGAAATACCAGAGAGGAGGTGGAGAAGGTCTGGAAGGTGAAGGTCTCAGAGGTGCCCATGATCAACGGAGCACCAAACTGGAGGAGTGGCTACAGCAGATTCCAGGAAAAACATCTCAATTCAGAAAAGTGCAGTAGTAGGAACAGCCAAGATACTGCGCAGAAACTCATCTATTTGTTTTTTATTCATTTTAAAAATCAATGTATTTAATTGTTTTTTACTTAATTATTTATTTGTTATTTTTTTTTTTTTTTCCTAGTTGATAACAAACAGAGAGGAAGCAGAGGAACAGAGGAGGAGAGGAGCAGAGGAGCAAAGGAAGAGAGGAGGAAAGAAGGAGAGGAGCAGAAGAGCAGAAGAAGAGAGAAGCAGAGGAAGAGAAGAGGAGGGGAGCACAGGAACAGAGGAGGAAAGGAGTACAGGAAGAGAGGAGAGGAAGAGAGGAGAAGAAGAAGAGAGGAGAGCAGCACAAGAACAGAAGAGGAAAGGAGCACAGGAAGAGAGGAGGAGAGGAAGAGAGGAGAAGAAGAAAAGAAGAGAAGCAGAAGGAGCAGAAGAAGAGAGGAGGAGAAAAGCAGAGGAGCACAAGAATAGAGGAGGAGAGGAAGAGAGGAGCAGAACAAGAGAGGAGGAGAGAAGCAGAGGAGCACAGAGATTTCTATTCTAATATTCTATTCTATATTTCTATATCTGTAGATTTAGTTACATTAGTCCTAACAAAGTCATAATTAAGTACTTTCCAATCTTAGTTTCTTATTTTTTATTTTGCAGCATCAAAATCCTTTTAATGTCACTAGATGGCAGCACATACCTGCATTTTGATTTGCCAATTTATGACTACATCCCAGTTACATACGTTAAAATATTATTTAATTGTATATTATTTATTGTAAAAAATCACAAAGCATGTCTTCAATCACAAAACCAAGCTATTAATACATGCATTTACTCTTTCAAAAATCTCTTAAAAATTAAAATATTAGAGTAACCATAGTTTCATCAGTCATTATCATCATTCTAGTATATTCTGTGTTTAAATAAGTGCATAAATAGTCCACGTCAGTTCAAAATGTACTTCAAACCTCACATGGTGTCGTCTGAACAGCCCGTCTGCTCTGTTGGGATCAGCTCACACGCTTTGACTCCTGCTTTCTCCAGGATCTCTGTGGCGTTCCTCATGGTCTCCTCGGACGGGAATCGGGACCGGGCCAGGATCCAGGCGTAGTCCACGTGAGACAGACGCAGTATATCAGTGCAGGAGTAGACCACAGAGACGCTGGTGTAATCTGTGTACAGCACCCAGTATGTGCCCACGGGAGACACTGAGACAGGAGAGAAATGGAAATATATATGTGCAGTATACAGAGTTACTCAGTGGTGGAAGTTGTAAAAGTAAAAGTACGACTAGGCCTGTCACAATAACAAAATTTGAAGTGCGATATATAGCTGAAGTAAATATGATGAATGATAATACTGACACAATAACCAAGAGCAGATTTAAAACACAAAAACAACTTTAAATTTTCAATATACTTAAAAAAAACATGAGCTGCAACAAATAAATAGCAGAATGAGACACTTTAATATCTATAATAAGTCATAGAAGTTATTAATACAAACTTTTATGGCTCAAATCTTATCGTACAGCCAAAAATAACCAAACATGTCCTAGTGCAGCACAGAAAATGTGCACATGATAAATATTTAGCCCCCAAAATATTGTTCCAGTTTTCAGATATTGAACGATAGTTATAAGGACAACAAAGTAGTGCTGCCAACTTTGTACTTAAAGTCGTAGTGAGTAACTTTTTAAATCAATATACTAAAATAAAAGTATGTTGTTTTTTTCATTCTGGTTTAGCACTGAAAAACATGTGTCTTTACTGTGAGCGTGCTTGCCTCTCCACAAACCTGACACTTATTTGGCCTAGTGAAGAGCATCCTCTTACTTGTTTCTTGGAAATGTCAGTAATTTTTGCTATGATATTCTACAGTATGGCATAAAATGTATCTATCTCCATGGTGAATGTTCCCAAGTATAGTGTTAATGTTCTCTCTCCAAAAAGTCACTTTAAATAATACCTTAACTCTCACTAAATCTAATCTAAAAATGTAGTTATTATAAATTGGAACGTGAGTGAAAAATCCCTCAGTCGTCCAGGTAGAATCCATGGCAAAGGAGAAATTCAATTTGTCGACTGAAAAAAAGTTTACTAGGTCGAATACATTTCATAGCTCATCCAAGCTGCTTCTTCAAACCAAAATTGGTCCATCCAAAGGATAAAACACCGAGTCACAAACAAAGCAATGTGGTCTACTTCATTCAGTGTAGTGAAGACTGCAGTGAGCGCTACATTGGAGAAACAAAACAGTCACTTCACAAGAGGATGTACCAACACAGACGAGAGAGCAGCAGTGGACCTCAGTCAAATCCCATCTCCACCTAAAAGCATCAGGCCACTCCTTTGAAAACAGTGAGGTACAGATCTTAGACACATCTGTTTCCTATTTATAACTCCATCCTCAAACCTAAAACAAAACAAACAAGAGAACAATAGGTGCAGCCAGGTCAGGTCTAGAGGTGTGAAAGCTCCATTATGACCCTGAATGATTATGCTAATAAGACCCCACACTCAGTGCAGTTCAATAGGCCGAACTAAATAACAAAAACTGTAAACAAGTAGGTGTGTTAGTTTTAGTTAGTTAGCTCCTCCCTGTAGACAGATATAAGGAAGTGTCCACCAGCATCTGACAAGAACTGAAGGAGCAGCTTGGATGAGCTTTGAAATGTTTTTGACCGAGTAAACTTTTGTCCAGTTGACAAACTGAATTTCTCCTTTGCTATGAAGTTGGTACCAGTATAATAATATTCAAAGTACTAGTCACTTTTAACACAATTTTATGGCATTTTAGTTGTTATGTGTGTTGGTATAAAAATGATACATGTCAAAATTCCATGTATCAGCCTGTATAAATATTAGCACAGATCTAAAGTATTTCCCATCACTTATGTCATCATGCTCAACATGTGTCCCAGTGTACTCACAGTAAGAGAAGCTGACCCCGAGTTTGGCTGGCTCCTTAGGGTCCGTAACCACTGCAGTGCCTTCTATATTTCTCCCTCTCTCCTCCCTAAAAAAACACAAAACTCCTCCATTTATATCTTTTCATTTGTGCTATGTAATATTTTAAAATAACAGGTCCAAGAAGTATAAAAAAGACGGTACTGATCACATCTCATACTCACATCTGTTTGTTGAGCACTTGAATTGTCCCGTCTTTTCTCAGGGCGTAGTTTGCCTCGATACATTTTCCGCTCTCAAAGGATGCTGGGAGTTTGGTTATCTCAAACCAGCGGCCCAGGTACTGTTCAAACATACAGTACAACTGTCAATGTTGTTTCCTCATCTACTAGTACTGCTACGAAAACTACTATTACTACTACTATTACTACTAGTGCAACAACAACTACTGCTACTTCTTACCACTACTGCTACAACTACTACTGCTACATCCACTAGTATTACTAAAGTTTAAGTAAAACTATTAGCTACTACTACTAGTACTATTGGTACTACTACAGCTTCCCTCACTAATATTCCTTCCACTACTAGACTACTGTTGTTACAGCAGCAGCTACTACTACTTCTACTACTACTACTACTACTTCAACTACTACTACTGTTACTACTATTATTGTTAATACTGTGACTACTACTATTGTGACTACTACTGTCACTACTACTACTACTACTACTACTACTGCTACTGCTACTACTACTACTGTGACTACTGTTACTACTACTGTGACTACTACTGTGACTACTATTATTATTACTACGACTACGGTGACTATTTCTACTACTGTGAGTACTACTACTGTGACTACTACTGTGATTATTACTACTACTGTTACTACAATTTGTCTACCACTACTACTACTACTACTGTGATTTCTACTACTACTGTGACTACTACTGTGACGTCTAAAACTACTACTACTTGAGTCTTTGTGTTACAGTGAAAAGCTCTGTATAAAACCCATGTATTATTACATCTAATACTACTGCTACCACTACTACTACTACTGAGTTATTTAGTATTACCCGTTGTAAGTCGAATTGCGGCTGCACACCTACAGCGGGACACGGCCCACAGCGCAGAGTCTGAGCAGACACCAGAGGAGTGAGGAAGAGGAGGAGGAAGCACTCACACCACATGACTGCAGTATTGATCTGGTAGAAAAAAGTATATTAGAAAACATCATAAACATTCTATTTACCTTCATTACTGTACATTCAAATTAAGATTCAAATTGTAAAAGTATGTGAACTTAAGTTATTATCAACCACTGTAAGAACTGAATGACTTGTCTCAACTCGATTTAAGACGAAATAAATAAATACAACAGACCCTGGATTAATGATTGGCTTGCTGGGGTGTTGGCTTGGAGATATGAAGTTTATTTATTTTGTATTTTTGTGGACAGACATGGAGACATACAGGACCTGCTATACCATAAATTCTTTTAGTGGTCCCACCTGTTAGTCTGGTTCACTTTCAGTCAAGCGGCTTCTTTAGGTTTGTGCAAAAATAACACATTAACCAAGCCTTAAATACTGCATTAAATGTGAAAAATAACACTTCCAGGCTATTAGAATGACAAATAATGACCTGATTTACCTTCAATTAAATGTGTGTGCAGCTAATCAAATAGATTTTAAGCTTGTTTGTCAACTGTTTTCATTTGAGACCAATGTTACTACCAGAGTTACTACTGTAGACGTGAACAACATACATTTTTGTAATATTAAAAAACTATTAATAATCCTCATGAAGATTCCCCAGGTGCAAAGGATGACAATTTCTTTCAACATTTCTGTGGTAAAAGTATTTGTACTTACCTGTATTGGTGTGAAAGTTGAAGTGCAGGTGCAGTTCTTTCTAGTCTGAAAACACTCAGGACCTGTGCACAGTTACGTCACAGCTCACACACTAGAGGCAGCAGACACACTCCTCTCACCACTCCTGCCCTCACCCCCCTGCCCTCACAAACAACAAACTACTCAACTATAGACCATAGATCCATGCTATAAATGGATTATCAGAGTATCAGCTCCACTGTACACCCTTGTGTGCAAGGGTACATACAGTCTATATGGTCTGGTACCATGCCAGATTCTCGTAGGATTTCAGCAGATTTCAGACTCTCCTGGGGGAGGGGATAGGTGTATCGAGTAATGAGTGGATGTCCAGCTACTGAAGTTTGAGACATTTCTTTTAGTCATTTACACACTCACCTGCATTTAACACATAAGGGTTATTAAGACATATCCCACTCACTGTTAGTTTACCATCATAACTTATTTTATCACATAGTGATAAACTTATTCTTGTGAGGTTTTATTGGCAGTTGGCAAACAACTACTGGTGCATTCCCACCACCAAGGAGTGTGAACTGAAATGTGACTTACTGATAATAACACATTTTTTTATCAGATTCAATAAATAAATAATATTACTAATAACAGTGATCAAATTATAGCTATAGCAAAATGAGTCAAATCCTGTTTATCAAATTAATATTCCTGAGAAACTTAAATAAAACTTTTAAACTACGTGGGTGCTCCTCCATAAATACATGTTCTATTGTTTGGTTGTCCACAGTTGTCACAGTGACTGGTATTATGTTTTCCTATTTTATGTGGAGTAGAGTTTAATCCTGAATGTCCAAATCTTAACCTCGAAACTAGCATGTCTACTTTCCTGTTTCCAATCCGTCTGTACAACTATACCAAAAAGACAACTACTTACATTGACTGTATCTCGTCTATGATCTGTTCATGCAGTTTCATGTAAGATTTAAAATGATTCAGCCTTTTAATCAATTCCCAAAACAATAAGCGAACAACTTTCTCTTCTCATTCTAACTGAAAAAACATGTTGATGTTTCAAAGGCCTGGCTCTGACCTGAGCCTGGTGCAGTATCTGTGAGGGAGTAAGGCTTTATTCCAAAAGTCAAAGTACAAATATAGTTTTGTTCACCAGATATGAATATTTATTGTACAAATTCAAATTCTGTGCCTTAAATTGTGAAATAAATAACAAACAACTATTCTTAACAGTTATTACATTTCAGTCTTTCTTTGATTTCAGCAACAATTTTTCCATCCTCAATAACAAACAAACAAATAAAGTAAAATGTAAAGTTATTAGACTCTTATGCTCAGAATTAAAAAGGGGGTATTATGGAAAATCGACTTTTTGGAGCTTTCTACCATGTTATAAAGTTATTTTCTCATCAAAAACAGGCTTTACTTATGTTTTTCTTATGTCATCCATACATATCTGAGTAATCTCTCCTTACCATTATTCAAACTCTCTGACAGTTTGCATTCTGTCCACTGCTCCACCCACAAACCTACGTCCTACTCAAACTCCTACACAACAATTCTGCATAAAGATACAAGCATTTTAATATGTTGTTTTTGGTGAATAGCATTTTCAGCAATAAAAAGTAACATGGCGAGCTAAATTAGAGATGCACCAATCCAGCTTTTTCAGTTTCGATTTCAATACTGTGGCTTTAAGTATCTGTTAAAACCCTGTATCAGCCAACATCAGCACAGACTGAAACTGTTTATTATACAGAAACCAATATATTCTGTAGCTGTTATGTATCTTTCAATTAACTATAGAAAAACTTCTACAACAGAGCAACAGAAAATTCAAACATGATGAGATTTTTTTTGGGCCCTATTACATAGATTTTAATGTCTAATCAGGATATCTATATAAAACTGAGATTTTATTACTTATTTTTCTATTTTATTTTGACTTGTTATCTTTTTGCCATTTATTTTGAATTTATTTTTACCATTTACTGTTTATTTTTTTGTTTGTTATTATATTATATTGTGATGTGTGAGCTATTTTGCTGAAATAATTTCCCTTGTGGATCATTCAAGTTTGTCGAAGTCTAAGTCTAAATCTATATTGGCTGAACTGATGTTTGGAAGCTGATATACAATCCAGCCAATTTTTCAGTATCGCCACTGATATCCGATCCCAGTATCAGATTGGTGCATCCCTAAGCTATGAATCCTCCATAGAAGTGCAATACCCCCTGTTTAAAGTGATGTTCAAGTATCTTTTTCAGCCTACTGGGAAATCAGCAAATGAATTCCTCCACTCTCTCCTCACACATATTTAATCCTGCATTTATAAAAAACATCTCAGCTCCACATCTGTATCAAACTCATCTCCGCTTTCTTTCTTGTCTTTCTTTACTCATCCTTGCAGAACTCCTGGTCGGTGGTCCTCATCTTGTACAGGTCCACCCCCTCCTCCAGCAGCAGTCCCTGTGCATAGCGGATGGCCTCGGCGGGCAGGAAGCGGGAACGCCCCAGGATCCAGGCGTACTCCACGTGGAAGATGCGCAGGACATCAGTGCATGAGTAAACCACAGCCACAGTGGTGTAGTCTGTGGAGAGCACCCAGTACGGGCTGTACGGAGTGACTGCAGGAGAGAGACACAGGGCGTAATGATAAACTAAGGACAAAAGGGGATTTCTTAGATATTAACGTGTTTCATGTATAATCATCTGTCAATGAAAATTTAGACTTTTAGTTTATTTTACTTATTGCAAAGAGAAATATTTTCTCTTGAAATTACAAAAAAAAACACTGTGAAACTAAATCTAGACCTACTTAATTAGACTCAATGCTGTAATGCAGAGAAGTATCATTCTGGACAAACTTACATCAAGATCAAATGTGTTTGTTATAAAGCTACATATCTGTATAAATAGATCTGTAGGTTACATATCAATATAAAAAATAATAAAAGTTGTATTTTTTTTTTCCCTATAAAGTTGTCAGATGTTCTTATCATCTACCACTAGATGGCACTCACATTACATTTTATTCTCTTCATGGGAGCTACAGTACAAAAACTTTCTAAGATGTATAAAGTTATTTTTCAATTATAATTTATACTTAATTATGTGTTCAATTATCTATAATAATAAAAGTATTTTAAAAATTGAAAAATAAAGTATTAAAAAGTATCCGTACATTTCATGTTCAAAAATAAAAAGTAGAGAACGTAGGCTGTTTTATGTGGTACTGATAGAAGTGATATATAAAATACTCAAAGCAAATGAATTAAAATATGACCATAAATATAATTATAATGAATATTAGTCCAGAACTCACAGTAGGAGAAGCTGATCCCGAGTTTGGCCGCTTCTCTCGGGTCTGGGATGATCATGGTGCCCTCCACTTTCCTCGTCTTGTCTTTGCTGCCACACACACGGACTCCATTAAAAGAGTTTTTTTTTTTTTTTTTTTTTTTTTTTTTTTTATTGCAGACTTTTAGGCACACACTAAAACGGCACATTATAAAAGTAAACAGTACACATGAAAATAAAATAAATGCATAAAAACACAGCAGTGAGTAACAGCATATTCACATATAAAAAATGAAACCCTGAAGAGTTAGCTCACTGGCGTTATAAGGGGCACAGGAAGTCAAAACCAATTAAACGAGCCTTTTCATTGGCTGTTGTCGGCGCATAAAACTGTATCAGCCAATCACATTTAGTTTCAAATGAAGCTCATAAGCGCGCGCCTAATTATATGAGAGGCTGAAGTTAGCAGGACGTTTTTATAACTCTTTAAATTCAGTCAGTGCTAACTTTCTAACAAGCAGTTACAGGGTGCATGGCGTTTTAGACAGTTAGAAAGACGTAAATGAAAATAGTTTGCTATATTTTGACTGCTTTGTGGGGTAGACAGCGAGACCTAAGCAACTGGGCTACTTTTTATGCTAATATTTTCTGACGCCATCTTAATAAATAGAAAAATGAGCAAACAAAAGAGCATACACCACAAATAAACACACTGTGTACATTTCCTTCAAAAATAAAACCCAACTGACTACTCATTATTATATAAAGTAGAGAAGTCTACATTGACTGTTCAGCTATAACCAAATAGACAATAGAGAGGTAGGGTGACCAGATTTTCAAAATAAAACACTGGGACGTCCCTGGTTTGGGTGGTTGGTAATAATAAAATTGTAAAACGAGTGTGTAATTAAGGGAAATTGTTATGCATTCAGCACAAATGTGAGTCAGTATAGTCACATTTTCTTTATGTTTTAGTCATATTTAAGCAGCTTTTCTGTATTTTACCTAAACAAATGACAGTTTATGCCTCTCTTTAAAGTTGTCAGGGATCAGATTGGTCAAATAGGGACATTTGGTCACCGTACAACAGAGAGGCAAAGATAAGATGAAATATTATTGACTTTTAAAAAGCTTACTTACTAATACTGTTTGTTGATCACCTGGATGGTCCTATCTTTTCTTATATCAAAGTTGGACTCGATGCACTTCCCTTTGGCAAAGGATGCTGGGAGCTTCTCTATCTCATACCAGCGGCCCAGGTACTGTCAGAGGTAATGCCTGTTATTACTAAACTGTTTATGTACATAAAGCTTACATACACAAAACTCATGTGAATGTTTACCTTCTGCAGACTGAAGCCTGGCTGCACTTTGGGCGAGGGACACGGGCCCCAGTGGTAGGTCTGAGCCGACAGCAGAGGCAGCAGGAGGGAGAGCAGGTACAGCCACCACATGACTGCTGCACTCACAGACGTGTGTGAGAGTCAGACGGATGAAAGAGGTTGTGCTTTGACTTTTTGTGTGGGAAAATTCATGAAAAGAGCATTGACCCCTGAACTCTAAGAATATAACAATGTGGTAGAGGTTTTTACTCCCTTTGATCCACATGTGGTATTACATCAGTGGCCGCAGATGTCCAGGGTCTGACTGAAACCTGGTTGCCATTCTGCCCCGTTGGCCTCTCTCGACCACCACCAATCACTCACACAGCACATTTACACAGGCAGCAGGGAGATGTGGAAGTGTCTCACTCAAGAAAATGGCTTAAATAGATTTAAGATGCCAACCTTTGGCAATTTGTTCACATAGTACCAACAGTTGTATCGTTTATAGAGTATATAATTTGACATACAAAATGTTTGATCTACAGTTTCAGTTTAGTTATTTTACTATTAACACCTCCACAGTAACAATAAAATACAAAACACAGTGTAACTAAACAAATTGGGAAAGTAGAATTTAAATTTAAATAGCAATAATCAGTATTAATAATAATCATTACAATTTATAAATACGTTTTACCCCAGATTATGTATGTCAAAGTCAGTACTGATTTTATATAAAATAAAATATAAACAATTTTAAACTATTTTAGTACTCCAGTATATTAAGATCCTTGACAATAAGTACATTTTCACATAAAAAGGCAGTTAATTACAGAAAACACAATCTGCAGTAATCCTCAAAATACTGTTTATCTTTATAATAATAATTTTGTAATTTTAAAATAAGTCCAATTGGAAAGGTAAACAAATCATTCTTATTTTATTTTATTTTTTACTAAATAACAAAATATTTAAAACCCCTCTTACCTTGTGGTTGTGAAAGGTGCAGCTTTGCCTAAAACAGTGTCTCCTTCTACCACAGACTGGTAGAGTTCACATGACATCAGTGGCCTCTCAGTGTCTCCATTGTGATCATGTGCACATTCTCCTGAGCTGAACCATAATGCACACTGAAGACTTCATCTGTTCACCTCACAGGGGACCATTGTCTCACTCAGGCCAGGAGACACATGCTCCTAAATATCTGACATCATTTTTAGGGCAGCGGTTAGGGTTAAAGAATGTGCTTTTTACTGTAGCTCAGAGGTTTACACATTGATTCCACTAGATGGCAGCAAATCCATATTATATAGTCAGATCTAGTTGCATTTTATGAATAACATAAGCAAAACTCTATGGTAGTCTTACCATAGGTATTTTAAGTAAAAAAAAAAAAAAAAATTTCTTTTCTATTTTTAGAAATAATTTATCTATTCTATTGCTGGGTTTCACATGGCATCACAACATTTTATAGGCCAACAGTATTTAATACAGATGAGGTCAGTGAAAATAAATAAATATAGTTAAAATACAGATTTTTGTTGTATTACAGTTCATGAGTTCTTGGGTCTATCACAGAAGTTCAACATTTACAAATGTTCCTTTTTGGATATTTTATTAATTGTGTACATGCAAAAACTAATTTCAATGCTATACTGAAGAACTTTCCAGACAAAAAAATCGTTGAAGTGTTTCACAGCACATTGATTAAAGAAACCAAATGCATTTTTTTATTTTAAATTACATAAACATGACCTAACTGTCCCTAGATATGAGGTAGACATGGGCAAATCAAAATATACTGTTTATTAAGTGTTGTATGTCATAATTGGATGTTTTGGTTCTTAAGATAATTATCCAATCAGAAAGCAGAATGAGCCTCACGAAAGTATCTTTTTTCAGTTCCGGTACTGAAATCCAATTGATTTAAACCTAAAAAGATGAGTGAAGTTCTGAGCTTTTATGTGAGGCATATACTGAGAAGGAGAAAAACATGTATGTGTCCTCTATCTGCAGGTTATGGCACTGTGGCAACCCAGGTTCAGTTGTAATTGTGATAGCTTTTTAAAAAAATCAACTAATGCAGGCTACATACAGTTCTTTAGAGATAGACAGATTTACAAAGTAAATAATTCACACAAGAGACAATGTATAAAGAATATTTATTTCCAGTGTTTGAGGAAAGGCTTTGCCCATGTAATGCTCTACATAGGCCAGATGCTTGACTTTTGAGAAATCTTGTCCCATGCAGTTTTGTCTCTTTCTCTCCCACTTCTGATCGGCCATGCATTGTACTGCATTAAAAGAGTACAGACGGGAAGGTAAACATACATGGTCGGATGCACCAATATTTGAATAGAAAACAGGGAAACTACCACCACATAAAATTACTGGAATGCCTGAATTAATCTGCTGATTTCCGAAAGGTGTGTAAAATCCTTATTCTGACAACTGTTGGTACAAACTGTTACAAACACAAAAACAAAAGAGGCACTTTCATTTTTGAGATAAAATAAAAACCATATATGTAAAAAAAAAAAAAAAAAGTACTGTATGACTAAAACTGAACAAAATACCTACTGTACCAAGCATTCCTTAGTCTAGTATCAGCATTTCAGTCTTTGATAAAGCACTCCTCCAGCTAAAGTCTGACTGTTGTGTAGTGCAGTGAAACATGAGTCCCACAGCACCCAGCTCAGAAAGCAGCCCCACTATATCCACTTATTCAAGTACAGCCATCGTATAAACATGGATCTAATAATGACTCTTCATCTAATGTGTTAGTCCACACACACATACATTCTCCTTATCTTTAAGGACAGGAAGAACTGAAGCAGGATTCTACTGAAAAGGCCTCCTCATATAATAGTCTAACCCCCCGTCACCCTTTGGTGCAAAGACAACATTCATGTGGAGTGGCTGAGAAGTGCATCAACAGAAACACAAACATTTAGTATGGATGATTTTCTAAAGTTATGAAGCCAGTACATTTCAACCAGCACCAAAACATTGGTGAGAATCTAACCAGCAGAGTTTTGAACAGAGTGGTGCTAATCCAGTTTTGGAAATAGCTGTTAAGTGCTTAAGAACATTAGGCTACATGACATTATTTTTTTATAACATTAAATCTGCCATTTGAAAATTGGACTGAGAGTAGTAATTGTAAACACTGTTAACACACAGTTGAGCACACATTTCTATAATTGTAATATTTTTATATAAATGTTGAAAAATGAGGATTTGGTACAAATCCTGACTTGCACTTCAAAGCCACTTCCCAAAGTAACTTCCTTCACGTCACACATTCTTGCTTTTCTTGCAGGAGGAAGATACATATTCCATGTCCCATCCAAAACTGCCAACTAATTACAAACATGAACATGTTTACATTATTCAAAGCATTATGTAGGCCTATACACATATGTACATAGATACATGAAGTAAAAAAATATTGTGCAATAATAACTTTAGCTAAACGTCCGTACAGATGACACAGTGGCGTCCGTGTTGTCCTGTCACAGATACTGATAGAAGCGTGATCGGACCACCTGTGCCCCTGACAGTTTGTGAGGGTGTGCGTCTGCTCCCAGGACTGCTTTACTCTGTACCCCGCCCCCGTTCACTCCTGCTGACGGCGGTGCACTGGAGGAGGCAGCAGGGGGCGCTGGCTGCTCAGAGTCCAGACACTCGTCCTCAGGCACAGCTTTAGGAGCCACCTGTGGATTAGACTTATCTCCTCCACTGCACTCCTTTGGCGTCCAGTCCTTAATGGCAAAGTCTTGAGAAGAGAACCGAGGCTTAAAGTTTTCCAAAGTGGAGATGTCAGCTGCTTGGTCCACTCCGCCTTGTTCCCTCCAGTCATTGATGACCGCTAGTTCTGCAAAGTCCCTCTGGCCCCCCATCGTATGCCTTCTGCGGATGTTCTTTTTCTTACTACTGCGAGTCTCTGGGTTCTTCTGGATGCTGAACATGTCATCAGCAGAAGTGCGCAGTCTGAACTTGAGACGTTCTGTGATCTTGAGGTGCCAGGCCGGTTCAGATCTCTCCGATTCACTTCTAGAAGATGAGCTGAGACTGCTGGTGGACCTCCCCTTTCTCATCACCTCTAACACTCGGGACAAGCGCGTAGACGATTCCGATCTCCCTTCACCACTACGCTCCCCGCTCGCTACAACACCCTCTACAGACGATTCACTGTCCGTCTTGTTCCTCAAAGACCACCTTCTGGACAACGTATCACCGTCGATGAGTTTGTGTGACGGAAAGAGGCGGCGTGATTCCATTCTTTGTCCGCCATTTCCTTCTACTTTCACTTCTGGTTTTCCTTGCGCACATGCCTGGCTTTTTCCTGGGCAGGGTGTGGACTGGCTACTACCCCCTGTGGGCGCGAAAACAGGAAATTCACTTTCACTGTCCGTCTCCATCGGCCGTCCTTCGCTTATCAGTTCACTTCTCTCGTCATCCGCCTCTTCTCCGCCTTGCAGCTCCGGACTCAAAACACTGGATTCTGCACCGGTCAGGAACGTGATTGAGGAGGTCGTGGAGTAGTCCGAAGTGATGGAGCTCACCTCGGCACCCAAGGACGCCCCTGCACCCATAACTGGACCCAAAGGTGCTTCTGATAACGAAACACTGCATTTCTTTGGCTGGGAAATTGGGACTGAAGCACCGGAGCTCATAGTGCCAAGATCGCTGGTTTCGTCTATAGAAGGAGGGTCGGACAAAGATGGTTTCCCCAGTCGAATTGTGATGGGAGACTTGTTCGGAGAAGGAGAATGAGAAGAGGGGTGTTTGGCTAGCTCTTTGAGAAAATTACGGTGTTCTTTTTTGGTTTTCATGGCCAGCTCTGCAGCCCTCCCGTTCTCCTTTCTCTCCGCTACCTGCTGCTTGACGCTGCTTTTAGAATTGGGGGTTGCGCTGGTCTCTAGTGGCTTGTGGGCCGAGGTTTCTTTTTTGGTGAATACAGAGTCCAGATCATCATCAGAGCTGCTGGGCTGAGGCTTCTCCTTTGACTTCTTTCTTTTGCGGCTGGCTGCAGCAAAGATAGAGGAGACTAGGAGCTCTCTGCTGTATTGGTCCTTCCCTGAACCCCAGGAGCCCTAAAGTGAAAATGACAAATAAGACCAGATTAATATGCTTGCATTTAGTTCAACATATAAGGTAAGGCTGTTGTCATCAGCTTACAATAAAAAACAATTACACATGAATTAAAAAAAAGAAAAACTACACTGGCTGCTGCTAATATTAAACCTATTAATTGAACAGTTCAGGTCTATCATTTGCATTTATTGAAACCACCAATTATAAATAATAAAAGTAACTCAATTGGCTATTGTTTACTCAAAGTATATTTCACCACAATTTAAAATCTTAAACCCTGCCTAAAAACAGTGTGTACTCCACCTGCTCCCATGAAGTTTTGACAAAAGACAGAGAGAGGGACATTAACATTCATTTATCTGGCATTTGCATGCTAGCTTTGAAATGCATTGCACTCCAGTCACTTGCAGTGTAACAAGCTGTTGTGAACAGTTCATAGACCAAAAGCAGAGCAATGATAATGATTTGCAAATGTTTTTAAAGCTTTGCATGAGACCTCTATCTGCAAGCTATAAATGCATTGGCATGACCACTTTACAGCTGATGTAAGCAGGGAAGTTAATTAAGTTCATATGAATTCTAATTTGACTGCAAAACTTCATTTGTTTATGGTCAGTGGAGCAGTGACCACCTACTTTGAGGTTCCAGATGCACATTTTCTGTTGATTTATGCCACAGACTATTTGAATCAAATAAAAAGGTCAAAATTTGGAAAGTCTATGGAGAAAATGGATGGGACATGTTCTTCTAGAACCTCTGTAGGCTTTGAGTGTGAAGCTCCATTGACAAGCCTTGGCCAGCACATGTGACGTGATCGCTCTCCCGGTCACCTACCTCATCCTACACTTGTTCTGAGGATTGAGCACTGTGGTTTAGAGCAAACTCACCTTTGATTTGGCAGAGTCACTAGTTGGTGAATCTGTAAGAAACAAAGAAGGAAAGGACATTAGTGTGTGTAAAGCATAAGTCGTGGACTTATGTAGCAGTAAGTGCATGTGGAGGGGACGGGGAATATAAGGACAGAATTGTGAATGAAAAGCATGGAGTGAATACGATTAAGACTTTGGCGTGAAAGACATACTGTATGAGCAGACAACCGGCCATGCTGCGTATAGACACACAATGAGCTCTATGTTACACATAAGACAAGATGGCGTACGCACAATTATGCAGTTAGTTCCTTATATTGTTAATGCTGGAGAGAAATTCTCTCAAATCTATATTTATATTTACTATACAAACAAACATGGCAAAAACATGAATGAGAGTTAAAATGATAATTAAAAGGGCTGTACCCAGCTTTTTATGTAATAAAGTAAAGATGGTCTTGGCCCAGAACAGTCTACTAGTTGTTGTTAGCACTGACATGAAGTCAAAACTCTGCAGGGCTCTCTGAAAGTTGTAAAAAGTGCTTACACACTGAGGAATACGTTTGGACCTCTGTGACAGTTTAAAATTAACAGGCCTGTTTTTCACATTTTTAAAGCCATAAAAATCAGGCACAACGCCTTAAATGTTACAATTTGAATCTGTTAAGAGACTGTCTGGGTTTGTTAGGATCAGTTCAAATGACCTCTACATGCTTTTGGATAATGGACACACAGACTTCTACTGAAAATGATTCATGAAGTTATGAACTTATCCTGCCCTATAGCTTTGAAATGCTTGTGAGTGAGGTGCAAACATACTAACTCCAGTTAAGTTTTCCTTCTCAAAATGCAGTGAAAGTGACACAAGCTGAAATGACAACTATGAGACGATGACAGACGGCACAGTCCACAACAGACAGGAGCAGTGACAGGGCAGTCACAGAGGGGCTGGCTATGAGAGGACACTACATGGTACAGGAGTGTCTGTGGTGTCAGTGGAAGAGGACCAGCACTCACACCTGCCTGGAATCACATCTATGATCCTCTGAGTCGCCTTAAATTTGTGTGACAGCCAAGCCCCCCTATAGACCCCTTTGCAGTACAGATGATGGCAGTGCACATTGACTGGTGAAGCCTGGGAGAGGAACCATACCATACTATCTCTCCTTTTGGAAAGCTTGTGAGACAGTGAGGAGAGACAGCGGACAGCCTTTCAGATAGTAGCACTGTTCTGACTTTGGCACATTGTGATAAAACCCCACAGTAGTGTGTAGCCGCTTCATGTACCCCTGTCTGTATTAGAGTCTTTGACTGGTGTGGCTCAAAACACCTGCGGAGTCCTGCACACTAAGCAGCTACAGTGAGGACAACAGTCCGCCTTCTTCCTACAGTCCCAGCTGCCCATCACGGACATTATAGAATCCATCAGTGACATCATGGTGTGATAGACTCCGCCCACTTGGCCTGTGTCAAGATCAGTATGTGTGAATGCGGGCAAGCCGTTAGGACACCCGACAGAGCCTCACTAGAGAGAGGGATAAAAGGTGGCCTTCCACTGTAAAAACAGCTCGTCTTTGACTTAATAGTGCAACATTAGGCAGAGGAGGAGGGGGACACACAGAACTGAGGAAAGGGGAGAGGGACACTAGAGGAAACTAAGACTCACTATGGATAAGTTTATTAGTGCTCTAAAAGCAAATGGAGAAGCACAGCAATTCATTGCATCCATTGGATTTGTATTTTAGGAGGAGGTAATTTGAGGAAAACTAATATCAGTATTGACTTGACATGAAATCTTTCCACAGTATAGATTTGTAACATAGAGTATGACCTTGTGTCTTTGTTGTAATGGGGAGGTTAATAAAACAGACACATCTTGTTTTTGGTCCATAAAACATATACATTTGGATAGTGTGAATTTGCACAGTAAATGATGCTAATGAATTGCTTGTATAATTGCCTGAGGCATTAGGAGTTATGTTAGCCATAGACTCTTGTATCTATTGGCAACAGTCAGAGCAGCCTGACTAGGGAGAAGCGGCAGCATACCCCACCACAATAGTTACTAGCTTTAGCTCGGACACACTAAGAGGCACAAGGATCCACAGTGAAAGGACAGAGAAAGGTGAACCCACCGCAGAGCAGAGCTGATCGGGGCAGCGTGTTACCTGATACTTCACCCTGCGATGTGCCTGTGCGCCCGATGTTTGTGAGCAGGTGATCGATGTTTGGGACGGGCTGAGACTCCACTGCACTCTCCTCCTGGGACGCTGTCTGCACAGGAGACAGAATCGTTGCACTTTACTTCTCATTCAATCAAAACACTTCTGCTGTACTATAATGTAGCAACCCTAACATTTGACTTAAATCTAGTTTTGTTCTTGATATCCCATAACCATGATACAATTGTAACCTCTTGATCAAATTTGTCAAGTATTATGTATAAAATGAGCTGTAAGAAATATAAGACAAAGAGTTTTGAGTCAGAGATACTTGTACTTACCACAGGTTCTCCACAGCCATCATCAGTAAAGAACCAGTCATACTAGAAGACAGAATTATATTAGTTAATTTGCAGATAGTTTAAGTAAATAATAAAAAAGCTGATTCTCACATTTTGGATGAGGGTCTCCACTATCTTGTACTGATCAGGCATATGCGTCACCATGTGGGTCATGTTGTCTTCTGTGGTGCGCACTAGTGTAGGACCAAACACTATGGCCAGGTTTCTAGGTTCCATCTTACACAAAGAATAAAGAAATACATCAGAATTTTATACAATGACTAGCCCTGTCACAATCATAACTACACTTAGGCAACCCTAAGTGTATCAAAAATCAGATCAAATCTAATTGATACTAAAACTAAAAGTTCACATAAATGGATAAAATTTAACCTGGCAACTTTTAGTTTTATCAGAACTATTGTAAGAACACATGGTATAAAACACAAATACCATTATTTTGTGTTGAAAATAACAATATTGTACTGAAAAGAGCTTTTAAAATGATCATTTGGGTATTGGTATCAAGTCTATTATTTAGTATTAAAATCAAGTTTGAAATTTAGTATTGTGACAAAACTACTACAAATTTTTTGTTAGAACAATTGAGAAATATTCAGATTTAGTAATCCATAGATATTGAACCTCATCATTATTTTGTTTTGGGGGGATAGGCTAAGAAATTTACTGAGATATTAACCATAAACCAGGTCAACAAATCTGCAATCTGACATTTAAATATCAAATTCCAGAATGTAGTGAATGTGCAACCTTTTTAGGAAAGGATATAACTACACCTTTTATTTGAAATTATTGTTTTAAAATATGTTCTCCATAAAAAAGAATGAGAACTTTGCACATCAATTACTTGAGTCGGGTGCGTTGGAGGAGACGGAGCAGCCCAAGAAAATCCTGCACACTGTCTTACTTGCAAATTGTGAGATTTATTAGGCAAATATCTGACGAAGGCCTAGTGCCGAAACGTTACACGGTTTGTCCTAATAAATGTCACAATTTGCAAGTAAGATGGTGCGGGATTTTTCTCTGTATAAAATATGTTCTGCAAAATATATCTTTCCAAAATATCATCACCAACTGTTAAAAAGTTGTTCATTTAACCTAGATAAAATAAATTGATGTTTTCCAGGTAGTTGTCACATAGATGTTGTTTCTATAAGGTTTACCCAAAGTGCTTGAGGCTGCAAACCAGATCCTACTCCGGTAAAAGTATATGCAATACCTTGTTCTTCTCAGAATTCTCAGCTACAGTTTTAAGATGAGCGGACAGGAACTTGAGGGTCTCATAGTGGTGGTCTGGGAGCTCATGTAACTGTGGAAAAGTGATTACAAAAGTGTTTAAAGACAGTTGCCATCATGCAAACTTACAACTTCTTTTTTTAAGATTCAACAGTAGCTCACCAGTCTCTTCAGTTCCTTTAGCCGCACCACTGGGTCCTCGATTCTGTTGGCCTCTATGAAGTCTGCATATTTTTCTGTAAATAATATGGATCATTTTTTTAAAAGACAATGCATTTCTAGATTTTGATTTGACTTTAAGAGGGTAGTGGCTGAACATCTTACCATTTGTAAACAAAGGCTCTGGTAGTTTCCGGAAAAAAGACTTGAGTAAACTGCTTATCACGTTAAGATCCCTCCATTTCTGAAAAAAAAAAGAAATAAAATAAAGAAAAATCGCATCAAGCTATATTTCAAGGTTGCTGTTTTGTTTTGAGTGCATTTACATTTTAGAATATTCAAAGAAATAAAGTAATTATGGTGCTGCTGCAAGTTTCTCAAGTAATAAGTATTTAATTACTTCTTCATTATTACTAGTAGGGTAAAAGTATATTTAACACATTTTTAAAGGTGCATTATGTAATATTTAGCCCAGAATAGCCTAGAATGTTCCACTATGGCATTAAATTGATCTTTTTAACTAAAACCCTGCAAAAACTTTTAGCCTTTGCAAAGATCTGATCTGTATCTTGGCCTGATAACATTATCTCTTTGTCAACACGTAGAAGAATACGATATATAGATAATGCCATACTGGGGAACATTCTAATCAAAAACATATAAAACATTCTTCCTAACTGTACACACTTTAGTACATGCTACATCTGACCTCTCCTTTGGCTCGAGTCCATTCAAAGTCACACTAACACATGAAGGATAATGTGTAAACCTGAGCATCCATTAGGAGTTGAAATAGATCAGATCAGACACTCACATCGTCCTGCACATCGATATCGCTCATGCCCTTGTTATTGAGCTCCTCCTGCATGTTGGAGATGGCCGCGTTGTTCCCGGGGACTCTGTAGATCCCTGTGTACTCCAGGCCCCTCTCCTCCACCAACTTACAGCACACTTCCACAATCAGAGGCACGTACTGGGCGAGAAATACAAAGACATGTTAGGGTGGGGAATTTTTCAGTGTCTGACAGTATATTGGTGTGAAATAATTATGCTGAAAGTAGAGGTGGGACATTAACGTGTTAATTACGATTAATTAATTCCAAAGACAATAATGCATAAAAAATATTAACGCATTTTATCGCAGTTTGCCAAACGACGCAGTAAATGTCTATTCAAACATCTACCGGACGGAAGTATCGACAAACGCGTCATTTATTGCAAACCATGCAGAACATAGTTTGCATATCACAGAAGCACCTCAACCTCACAACACCATTTAAATGCAAAACATGTGACAGGGAGCACAGTTCTGGTCCGAGTACAAACAAGAGGTGTCAGCAGCCCAAACTCCAACAAATGGTTTCAGGAAGAAAATGAGTAAATGAGTAAGGCAAATATTGTTATGCGATTAACTGAGATTAATTCATTACAAAGCCTGTAAGTAATTAGATTATTTTTTTTAAATCAAGTCCCATTCCTAGTTAAAAGATTCCACAGTTGGAACCAATATTTTGATCTAAGCTGCCTCAGTCTGTCTTTCAAGTTTCTCATCATTGCATCAGATCTATTTGCACTGCATCACATGTGTCTATTATAATGCTACACGATACAACATCACCAAAAATACAATTAGATTATACCTCATTGATGCATTATTTTTTAACAAAAGTGAAAAGTTAATTTGTGAACTTAAGAAATATTTTACTTCTGTTTTAACTTGTTTGGGAAACACTGGTCAGCTCGAACAGCAAGAAAAATATTAGTATTAGATATTAGTATTGGCTGATAAAAATCCATATTGGAACATCCCTAGTAAGTAGTAAGTTAGTAAAATCACAAAGGTGGCAATGATTTTAATCCTTTACAAACCACAAAATATCTAAACTTGTTAAATACCATCCCTGTTAGAGCTCTCTAACATGTTCTAAAGTGCATGTGATTCTTGCATTAGTTTAACAGTTCACATTTCAGTCTTCTTGACATGTTTGAAATGTGCTCTTGAATTTGAAATGTGAACAGAATCTAACAATGACATAACATAAATTGTAAATCTAATCGTGATTGCAATGTTTGTCAGAAAATTTGCAGTGAAATATATTGCCAGAGTCGTTCAACCGTACTAGTGTGTAATGAGAAAATGAGAAGTGACATGAGAAAGCTGGACTCACTTTGTTGTTGTGAGCAGGAGGGCAGTCGTCCAGCCTCACTCCGAACGTGACCCCAGGAGAGGGCTTCTTCTCAAAGGGTTTCCTCATGAGGCCGGGGATGCCTTTCCTCCACGTGCCCTTGTCCTTTGGAGGGCTCGTGTCATCTGCAGGTGGAGACAGGGAACTAAGTCATTTATTTTCACATTCATAGTGTGCATTAAAACGTACAGTAGCAATATGGAGACAGATTCTCCACCGCAAATTTCTCTGATCTGGCCAAGATTTTAAAACTTATAAAAAGATTTTAAAACTTAAAACAAGGTTATTCATCTTGTTTTCAGATTTATTATCTGCTTAACAGTTCTGAATTGGTTGTATAATCTTAAAAATTGTCACATATATTTCTTCCATGACTAAACTAGTCAGAAAATCTTAAATTTAGGCAATAAATGTTTAAAAGAAGTTACAATCCATTTATTGCAGTGTTCTCTTGCAACACTTGTTTTTAGATTGAGTGTTACAGATTTTCTTGATACTCAAGTATGTTTATCTAAAACGTAGCATCCACAAAGTTATTTCCAGCCCATGAACACTTACCAGAGACTGCTTCATTCTAGTCTAGAAGTAGTTATTTTAAGACAACTTGTCAAGTAAAATGATCTTGCTGCATGGACAGATAATTTCACTACTTTAAAGCCATTTTCTGATAAGTGTTTGTATCTTAAAATTTGGCCAAGCTTTTATTGCAGTGTGATTTACTAAAAATATTGGGATTTTTTAATTTTTTTTTTAAGTGTATAATTGTCATGGCTTATTTTCTACAATTTTTCTAAGAAGTCGCAATACAACAGTTATTTTTAAACTGATCAAAATTGCGCTTCTCTGATAGCTTCAGACATAAAGATTTTTGCTCAGTTAAATGGCAAAATATTTATTTTGAGTTTTGATAGTAACATAATGACAGAAAAAGGCCTATATTCAGAGGTGCATTGTGTGTTTGCTTTGAAATGTTCCACAGTATTGCATTAAATGTATCTTAAACGTTTCCTTAAAGACAAGCTGGTGTTATTAGAGAAAGTTTCTGGTCAAATCTGTGTAGAGCAAGCTAGATACGTTTAACCCTCTCCAGGCAGGCGTTGCAGATTTGCAACAGCTAAATTCCAATTACCTACTTACTCCACATCCATATTTTATTAGCTTTTTTTACTCAGGAGCCTTTTCTCCCATCCATGCTGATAAACGTGGATGATGCAGACTGTGCAAGAATGACTACACGCAAACGGCCTGCCAGAAGTGCAAAATACTTTTTTTGTTTACAAAGGATAAAAAAGTCAGGATTGCATATTACTACCCCATATTATAATTTTCCCCAAATATCAGATTTTTCCTGATACTAAAAATTAATTTGAGCCTGAGAGGGTTAATGCCAGAACAATAACAGGTCCATGGAGGTCAGACCACCACCCGAAAAGCTACATAGTCCACATTTAAATTAATCCATAACTGCTTGCATAACAATATCAGCGTACCTTTGTGCATGCTTCTCCTCTCCTGCTCTGCTTTGGGTGAGGGGGTCTTGCTCTCTGCCTTCCCTCCCAGCAGAGTCTGTCGGATACTCAGGGACTGCCGGGACGAGCGTGGAGAGGGCTCCGACTTGGTGCCGGTCGGACTGAAAGAAACAAACAGACGGATTACTACACACTCTGCCATGTTCTCATAACTATGACTTGTCTTGTTCAGTTTAACACTCCAGTATCCCAATCCCCTCCCACTGTCTTACCTCATCAGAGTGTTGTACTCCTTGATTTTGCGACTGATGAGGTCATGACTCGTGAAGGCTGCGTTCTGGAAAAACAGAAGGAAACAAAAGACATATTATTTACTCTATTTACACAATACACCAGATAGTAATCCCTCTTTACATAACTGGAATTGGGTGACATGGATACTATTGGATTCCCAGTATGTTTTAGCCTTAGGAAATTAGGGTAAGTATAGTGAAACAACTCTATTGTAGGACACATTGTCTACAGACAGTAAAGCACACTTCAGCTATTAACAGTAATAGATGAGTCTGTTTGCGTTGTGTTTTTAGGATGCTTTATAGCATTTTTTAATGGAATATTTGTTTTGTTGTAATGTGATTTCAATAGACTCTTCTTGTTCTGTAGAGCACTTTGAATTACTTTGTGTACAAATAGTGCTCTACAGATGAATCTGACAGGCCTAATATAGTAGTTTCTACACTGAGGTTCAAGTGGCTTTATTTTGTATAAATACCAAAAACGTTTTTGAAGCTTAGTACATTATGAAGATGAGCGTTGCTATTTCTAGTCTACTTTTCCAAATTGGCTGATATCAGGATGAATTGGTTTAACAACAATGCATATAAAACCAAGTTACATGTACTGGAAGAGGTGGAAGAGAATTTTTAATTATTATGCTGTAGACAGATTTCCCACCTATAATGTATGGTAAAATGTTAGACAACTTGCAATATTGTTATTGCTATTGGCAGTAGTGTTTTTAGCCTTACAAAATAGTAATCAATACTAACACTAGAGTCAAAAATAGACACTCATTTCAGCAAGTGTTGATATCAACAGAAAATTATGTAAGAAAAATGTAAAACTTTTGAGTACAGATTTAGAATGTTCTTGATCTTTGTTAGACTGCATGGTATTATTTGAGAAACTGCTTTTATTTTGTGTTGAAAAGTCCAGCCTCTTGTGTAAAACAGGAACATGTTATTACTGTGGTACCAAAATTTAGCATTCAAATCCTTTGTATTTGAAACATAAGTATCACGAAAAGACTACTTAGCACTAGTGATATTAGCTTACCTCCTCATCCACACTGTTCTCCTGGATGACTTTGATCCAGGCCAGCATGTCCTCGCGGTCCTCTGCTTGCAACAGGTACTCGGAGTCGGAGGTGGTGATGCGGAGCACGTTCTTGCGCTTGGTGTCGCTGTAGGAGATGTCGATGAGGCAGGCTTTGATGCTGATGGGCAGAGGCTCTTCTACGGTCTGACAGTTACTATGGCCCTGGCCGTCCCTGCGCTCCTTATACAGGCACAGGTAGTGACCCCTCAGCACCGCGTACATCTGTTTCCACGGACGCATGCCCCCTCCGACACGCTAAAGAAGTGGGTCAAAATGAGAGAAGGTGTTTGACACAGCGGGATAGGGAAATGACTAGTAATTTTTATCTTAAATATAGTTCTGTTGTTAGGATGAGTGAGTGATTGTTGTGTAGCTGTGCTAATCAAATGTTGGTACTAATGGTGTTTGGAATTTATTTTGGGGAGTCCTGGTTCAGAGTTAATCTAGTCTATGATTACTGCTGATTAAGACCTGGTTTAATCATTGTTTAAACCCAATACATCTGGTTAAGTTGACATATTTTTTGTTGTGGTACTCAGTGGAGAATTTATAGCTCCGGGCACAATCAAAATGTTAAATTAAATGGATGAAATAGAGCTAAAAACAGCGCAAAAAATAATAGATAAACAGCTAACTAACTAACTAAAAAAAAAAAAAAAAACACTTCTGGGTCAAAATAAAATTCTGAATATTAGGGGTGTATTTACAGTTGAATAATCATCAAAGTGGGACTAAATTGGGGCTAGATAGAGACCTAAATCTGGACTAGAACAGGACTAAACCAGGACCAAATCAAGTCTACATTTGGACTTAAACTGGGCTAAAACTAGTATAAATGCACCTTAAAAACAGTACCTTAAAGGTAAAAGAAACCTGAACCTAAATTTTTATGTAATGAGTGCAATGTGTTAAAATAATTATTTTTTGAGTCATGTAGAGATACCAACCTTTCCCTTTTCTGAAGTGAGCTGCCTAAAATGCAGCGGACCCTCTTTGGTAGCATCACAAAAGATGTCTGACGTTGAGTCCCTCCTGGAGCCCGAGTCTTCTGACGATCTGTCAACCGCCTGCAGGAGACAGAAATAGATTGTAAAGTGTTTCAATTTCCTGAACACAACATTATCTGCTCATTTTAAAGAGGAAATGTTATTCAAATGAAACCAGTGAAGTCACAGTTCACAGTTTGCACACATGAGAAAGTGAGAGAAAGTGCTCAGTGAATAAGAACTTACCTTCCTCAAGCTCTTCAGACCAGGAATTAATGACCTCCTAAATTAACAAGAAAAATATGTGAAATAAAAGTAGTATTTTTAAAAGTGTAGTATGTCATTTTACTGGTATTCCACCTGCTTGTCTTCGTGGAGATGTTATTTCTTTGCCAGGAATGTCACACAGTACGGCATTACACTTATCTACATTACATTTTATCAGTTGTTTTATAGGTAAAAATACTTTGGAAAAATGCACTCTTACTGTAAGTTTGCTTGCCTCTCCAAAGATCTGATCTGTAACTATGCCTGACGCTGTAACCCGCTTGTCTCAGTTGAGATAGATAAGTAAAATGCCATAGTGATGAACATTCAGGTCCAAGCAATAGCATCTCCATGGAGACAAGCTGGTGGCAGACTCAAAAAGTTACATAGTGCAATGTAGTTCAACAACAAACTTACCCCCTTCGCTCTTCTCTGTAATTATCCAGGCCTTCATCGCATGATTTTGAGCGCTCTGTTTTAGTCGCCGAGTCAGAGTCAATAATTGTGAGACGCATAGAATCTGAAAATGACATTGTAAATATTATTACATAAGACCTTTATATATTACTGAGAAGGCTGCGTATCATTAAGAAGAAGAAGAAGAAGATACATACCTCGATACATAGGCCCCAATGCGATACATATCTCAATACAGTGCACTTTAGGTTTGATAAGATATATTTCAAATCAATTCGATACAGTTCAATAAAAAATAAAGCTAAATCATGGCTGTGATCCTAAAAATCTTTGTTAAATCACTTCTTGTGCAAAGTTCATATGGAACACAAACATTTTAACCATCAAAACAGTGAAAATGACAAATGTGTCAAATGAACAAGTTTCCTTCCTCTAAACAAACAACAAAACTGTAGCTCTAACAAAATAATTTAGTAAAATGTAACAAAAATTACCCTTGGCGATATATATCGATACAGCAGCTCACAATACCGATACTGTATCATCAAATTAAACGATACGATATATTGATATTTCGATATTTTTGCACACCCCTAATTATTGATTTCCTATGAAACAGTAGCATAAATAAATAGTGTGCTGTCTCAATGCATAAAAAAACAACAACAAAAAAAACATACCTTGGTCATGTGACAGCTGGCGGCGAATCAGAGGGGAGGGGGAGGTGGGGCTGGGGGGTATAGTGGTGATGATTGGAGGCACAGAGATCACAGCAGACGCGGAGATGAGCGAACTGTCCAGGTCAATACTTGGACTGGAGGGTTCATCTAAGAAAAGAATAAATATATTATAACGTGCATATGACAGGTTTTCATGTTTTTTAATTATCACTTGGTTTGGTGGGAAAGTTCTATATGAGTTAAGTAGCAAGGGGGAAAAAATTTGCGCTAAGTTCTACAATGGAATACCTCCATCCATGTCATCAGCACAGAAGTTCCAATTACATATAGGCACAAGGAACAGTTTAAACCTTCACTTAACAAAATAATTTTTTCCAAGTCTTGAATATAATTATGTAAACTATGCTTTAGTGAAATTAGTACTCGAAACTGACATATGTGGTTTAAGCTTTGACAACATTTGGTATTACTAAGGGGGATTTGTAACCAGGAAAGAATAAAATAAACTGTACAAGTTACAGCACCTGCTTAAATAAACAAATGGGAACAAAGATAACGATGTTATTTATTACTGTCTCCACACCTTTCAATTGAAATTGTTCTGATTTGCATGGCAGACATTACATCATACTGGCATGCTTGTTTAACCGCTGATAAAACAACACAAGGAAATTGTTTTGAAACGCATCATATTTTCAGGAGCCTGTGATCAATATGAGTGTTCATGGGTTCCTGTTTGGGTGTTTTAGATTTTCAACAAAACGGTGAGAGTGACTACCTGAAAAACTGCTGGTAGCCTGTGACTGTAATTTTATGTGCGAGAGACTTAGAGAGACTTTAACAGCACTAATCATCATACCTGTTGTAGTTCCAGCTAAGTCTGTTCTTTATGGTCAGATTGTGTTAAAATAAAGATCAAATTAAAGCCTAACAGAGTTCCAGGGAATGCTGATCAGCTGCAAAGTATCAATATTCATGGCTTATATTAGTGTGTTGTCCCCAGTGTTGGGAGTAACGCATTATAAAAGTAACAAATTACTGTAATCCATTGCTTTTTACAGTAACGAGGTAATGTTTGGCATTACAGGAGAAACAATAGTAATATTTTACTCGGTACAAATGTCAATAAGGCACTGTACAATGCTTTTTTGACCTGGATTGAAGTGGTGGGGTTTTTCAGTTTTCTTCGTACAAATTCGTTAAAATCACAGTGATATCAGCAGCGGTGAAACACCCGGGACGCACCCGTGTAGACCGTCGGGGGACCGCGAGAGAAAGGACCAGCACAGAACTCCGCGCTCCACGGGGCTAAGTCAGGTCAAAATGTCATGCTAGGCGCCCGGGGGGTTCTTTCAGGGGGCGGTCCTACATTTCAAGTTCTAGTCCAAGATTAGTCCTGGTTTAGTCCTGGTTTAGTCTTGGTTTAGACATGGTTTAGTCTTGGTTTAGTCCTGGTTTAGACCGGGTTTAGTTCTGGTTTAGTCTTGTTTCAGTTCTGGTTTAGACCTGGTTCAGTCCTGGTTCAGCTCTGATTTAGTCCTAGTTTAGTCCTGGTTTAGACCTAGCTTAGTCTTGTTCAGTCCTGGTTCAGCTCTGGTTTAGTCCTGGTTTAGACCTGGTTTAGTCCTGGTTTAGACCTGGTTTAGTTCTGGTTCAGTCCTGGTTTAGTCCTGGTTCAGTACTGGTTCAGTCCTGGTTTAGTCCTGGTTCAGTTCTGGTTCAGTCCTGGTTTAGTCCTGGTTCAGTTCTGGTTCAGTCCTGGTTTAGTCCTGGTTCAGTTCTGGTTTAGTCCTGGTTTAGTTCTGGTTTAGTCCTGGTTCAGTCCATATACGTTCAGCATCTTCGCAGTTATTTTGGTGAGAGTAACTTAAAAGTGCTGCAATAGTTGTGTAATGTCTTACATTTTAAACACAGTAATATTGTAATGTAACAAATTACTTTGAAATGACAGTAACAAGTCATAAATAACACATTACAGTTTTAAAGTAACTTGCCCAACAGTGGCAGTCCCTTTAAAAATTGTGTTGTTCAGACAGGATCTAATTTCCATACATTCAAATCTGCATCTTAAAATAAATGTAATTTGAATAGTGTTGAAATATGGCTCTTTGCTGTTATGTCACAGTGCAGTTGGGCCCTGTTCCAGTTTCCTGTATTCTGTGATACTGCTGACATATGACACATTTGTGGAGTGGGTGGGGGGGGCATTGGACAGCTCTACTTGTATTTATTTTTGTGCTGTTCTGCTCGAATACCAGAAGTGGTTTAGACACGTCACTCTCACCTGCAGAACACTATCACTTGGTCATCATAGTTGAAAATGCCATAAGCCACATAAGCATTGTTGATTCTTCTCCATGTTGACAGAATACTCCACTTTACAGTATCGTCAATGAAAAGTGACCTAGTTGTGAAAGGTCCTACTTTACGCAACATTGGCCACGGGTACAAGATGTTTTTGTTTTTTTTTATTATTCCAAATGGATTTTTCTGAATTAAATAGTTCAGAATTAAAATATTCTCTTTCAAGTTTACATGGAAATAATAATTCCGAATTGAGGTTTACATGGAAAATACGTTAAATCGCCTTTATTTAATTCCGCTCAATGTCTGGAAGTGTTCTGATTGGACAGGGAGCACGCAAACGTATTTACATCTACCGAGGAAAACACACACTTCAGCTGCTACCGGCTTTTCTGTCATCTCAGTTTGTCGTTACACCACGCACACAAACATGTTACAAACTTTTTTCACAGTCTTTCCAATGATAATTAAGCAGTGGCTCGAGAATTCTATCATCACGCTTTACGTCTGTCAGCTGAGGAGGAGAAGGGAAGAGGAAGAGGGAAGAAGAATTATTTTTAAGAGGAATAAACAGAATAAAACGTGATCAGGGAATAAATTAATTTGACTTTCAAATCGGAATAAACCACCCACTTACTTTGGAATGAAATTTCATTCCAAATAACTATTTTCATTAGGAATTAAGTGTTTACATGGTCCATTTAAAGCAGAATACATTTTTATTCAGAATTAAATGGCTTTTATTTGGAATTACAGCTCTCATGTAAACGTGGCAAATGATTCTCTTGTTACCTTTTCAAAAACATACCTGGAGTTGTGATTTGTTTCATTCACATGTTGGAGCAATTGTTTATTCAGTCCGTCTACATCTTCAAAGCTCAAAATGCTCTGTTCCACCTTAAGATGTCATGAAGCTACCTTTTACCTTTTGGTTAGAGATTGGAAATTCCAGGGCTGAAATTATCCGAATGATTCTTGTGAGGGTGTGTGGAGTTTAAAAACATAGTATAGTACTTCCTGTATTACCACATGACATCACATGAGTGTTTTCTGTTTGAGAGAAGAACACGTGTGAAGGAAACAAAACACAACTCCAGGTTTGTTTTTGACGAGCGAACAACGTCATAACAGAGAAAATAGCATAATATGGGCCCTTTAAGTTAAGAAGAGCATATAGGCCTAGCATGACATTTTGACCTGACTTTCTGAATACGGCGCTGTGCATAGTCTTTTAAGTATCTGCTACATACCAGACATAGACACAAGTTTCCTTTTCAATTGCAGTTCTTCTGTTATGCTTGTGTTAGAGCTATTTACAGACAGAGGTGGCATTAGAATTCACACTATAAATACAACCTCTGGGAACAGCATTCGCCCACCGTGTTCTTGTTGGTGATAAACATTCTATGTCTGGGTTCAATTTTCTTTTGTGTCTGAAAACAAATCGGGAAAATGTCTAATAGTATTACAGTTATGATCAAATTGGTTTAAAAAAAAAAATCAAGATTAAGTTCACAGTGTATTTTCAACCTGCTCTATTGGGATTATTAAAAAGGTGCACTGTGTAATCAGGGTATCCCCGGGTTTGACTACCCTAAATTTAAGACTTCTTCAAGACCACTTAAATGAAAATTAAGACCAACGTCGCACCCTTTATGCAGGCGAAAAATACCAGGTCTAATTCTTATAATGACCAACCAACTACAGGTACTATATCTACAATCTAAGGCTACGTTTATATGACGGTCCGAACAGAAGACACAAAAGTTGAGTCGTGTCTTCACTTTTTATTCTGCATTTTGACAAGCATTTTCAAGAGGAAATCTGCGTGCATGCGGTGACGCAAAAGTGTGTGGAATTGGATTGGTGATGCATGTGACGTAAACACGTATGCGACGTGAGCAGATCTGACCAGAGTTTTGCGTCTTGGGCAGTGTAGACGGAACTGATTGTTTACTCATTGCCACCGGCGCCAAAAACCAAAGTATTGTTTGCGCATACTCCAAATTATTATTTCACGTTCTTGTTTTTTTTCCCTCCCTCCATTTAACATTTTGCATTGCAACCCGATTGAGTAAACAAAAAAAAGGCTAATGAAATTTAAGATTTTTTTTAAGACTTTTAAGACCTCGTGTCTACCCTGGTAATATCCATGGAGATGTTATTGCTTTGCTTAGGATGTTTCACAGTATGGCATTTGCAACAGAAGACCAAGATCAAGTTACAGGTCAGAGCTGGGAAGAGGCGTTCACAGTAATATGTTATAAAAATATGAAAAAAACTAAACTAAACTAAACTAAATTAAGATAAAAAGTTTAATGTCATGCTGTGGAACATTTCCGGCATGGCAATAACATCTCCACAGAGACAAAGCAGGGGGCGAATTCCATCAGAAAAGTTACATGACGCACCTTTAAATACTTAAATATTAATGCTAAACTCATACAAAATCCCCATGTATTTCAGAACGTGTTTTCGATTGAGCCCATTTATTACAATTTTGATTTTAAAAAGTTCTTACCAATGAACGGTATTGAATCCAGCGAGCCATCCAGACGTGACCCAGTCTTCTGTTTCGTATCCTCCAACCTCCTGTAGTACATGTCCCTACACACTGCTCCCTCTGACCCCGCCTTCACCAGCGCAGGGGGCCTTTGGGTGTCTTCCTTATTACGTTCATTCACAGCGCAAACATAGGACGGAGGACGATTGGGTTGGGCATCCGACTTTTTATCCCGCCTTAAAACTACTACCGTTGCGTCAGGTCCTTCAACGCCTTCTATTTTAGTCCTTAGAGTAGAAATGGCTTTTGGTTGTTGTGCTATCGCTCCGTTGGTTATTGAAGAGACAGTTGTGGAGACAGTTTGTTGCTGTTTTAGTATGGCTACTTTAGAGGAGACACCAGAGCAGGAGGAAGATCTAGCCGCTAGCCCCCCTTCCGCCCGGTTTTCCATTTTCAGACTGTCGGCTCTGGTCCTGAGTAGATGTACCGGGGAGGTGTAGCCTACGTGGTTCCCCATCATGGTGGTTCTTTGGTCTTTGAGGGGCGCGGGGGCGCGGGCAGAGGATAAGGCAGGAGAGAAGTCAGAGTTTTTGACTGGGAGACGTGAAGGCCGGATGATGAGACCGTCCGCCTTGGATGGATCAGAACCTGGAGAAGAAAGAGATGTTGACTGGGAGTTAACAATCACAGACAAATGTAAGATTTCACAGATATTATGGACACTATAACTCTATGAAGTTGTGGTTACATATGTTTTAGAGTTGCAACAGAATTTATTGTTGCAGAAAATTAGTGATGGCCAAGTTATGGGCGTAAGAAAGAAAAAAAAATGTTACTTCAACCTAAAAGTAGGACTGAGTACTGTTAAAAGGTCTATGATATCAGGAGGTGCTACTAATGCAACATTGTATATGGTAAAAAAATAAAATAAAATAAAACAAAAATACAAATAAAAATATTAAATAAAAAAAAAAAAAAACATAAAATAAAAAATAAAAACATTACATAAAAGTTATAGATAATGAGCAAAAATAAAATGTTTCAGAAAAAATAAAAACATGATAGGCCACTGATTTCTATGGACTTTAACTCTCAATTATTTAACTGGAATAAAACATGTACACCTGTTTAAATGAAAAAAACCTTATTTAACTTGCATGATTTTGTTGGATTGTAAAAGTCTACTTATTCTGACGTGTTTGAAATAAATCAAATAAAATATGCTGAATTCATACCTTTAGTAAACACAGAAGTGGCTGGTGGTGAGTTTGTAATTCCACTTGCTGTTTGTTTGACCACTTTACCCTCCTCTCTGCGACATGCCCTCTCATCCACACATGTCCCTGTCTCTGTAACATGATGTCCGATGTAATCACAAGAGCGCGTCCTCGTTTTGGCGACCCCTGCTGGCGTGGACGACGGAATTGCGTCCTGGGAAACGCTTCGATGCCAGTTCTTCGTTGTCCTTTCTCCTCCGCTCAGTCTTTCTTGGGAGACACTTCGCAAGGGACCTGCAAACTTGTGCGCCGAATCCGTCCCGCGATCGTGCGACGCGCTCCTCCGTCTGGCTTGCGAACTAAAAACCCTCGAGTTCGATGGAGGTGGAGTGTGCGGTTGCGCGTACGCCGAGCTAGCGTTTGCATTTGCCGCTGCTCGTAAGCTATCCAGTCGCTCCTGTATCGTCCTTGAGCCGTACGTGTGCAGCTTTTTGGAGTCGATGTAATCTTTGTACGTCGTGTAATTCTTCCAGTCGATGTTTTGGTGCGTTGGGGTGTTGGAAGCGGACGCTGATGGGGAGTTATTGGGTGACATTTTTGTTCCTTGCGATGCTGATGTTACGGGGATGTTTGGAGATAACGTTTCTGGGTAGTTTTGAGTAGTTCTTGAAGTTGGCGTTTGCGAATATACCGGCGTATCAATGGAAGGGTACTGTAACTGAACACCTCCAGATACCGATGGAACAGTTGACCTTGGCTTTGCGGATTCGGTTGTAGTAGCGTACCGGTTTTCTTCAGTCCGATGGCTTGGAGTCCTTATATCATTACAAACAACAGATTTGATAGTGGTGGGAGGCGCAGGAGGAGATGGAGGGACAGGTATTTCCACGCGGTAATTTTTCTCGGTGGCGCGGACAGCTCCTTGGGCCATGGACGCAGCCTTGACTTCTATCCGCGGGTAGCAGATGGGAGGGGGCGCGGGGATGTTCCGGGCATTTCCGCTGTACGCCTCATTCCCTTTGAGGTATGCATCCTGGGAGTATGCCTGCAACAGATTAAAGCTCATTATGTCACTAGGCAGAAGATGTGGCAACGCTAAAACTGATGCCATAGATTAGCGCGTTTCACTGGGTAGGAGACATTTTCACAAAGATATATTTAGTCATTTTTATACCATGCTAATTTGCCTAATGAAAGTTATAATAAAGTCACAGAATAATGTAAGAAATACATTTGCATCTGGGTAAACAAAACTGGTCCTATCATATTTTTGAAGCATTCTTAAACTAAATCCATATATTAAAATTTGTAGCCAAAAAATAAACAAGCATTAGTTTTCATTTTGGTTGTGGTCATTAACACTGAACAAAGTATCATTACTCTGCGTGAGCTTGCATCTCCACAAACCTGACTCTTATTTGGTCTGGATAAGGGCCTTCCCCAGCTTGTTTCCATGGAAATGTTGTTCGTTTGGCTATAATCTTCCAAAATGTTGTTCGTTTGGCTATAATCTTCCACAGTATGGCATAAAATGTATCTATCATCATGGAGAATGTTTCAAAGTATGGTTTAATTTTCTATTTCCATGGAACGTTACATGTTGTACCTTTAAATTCTTGAACTAAATTAAAATCAAACTTTATTAATTAATACTAAAATACACAAATGGGAATTAGAATGGACTATTACATAAATAGGATAATAATGCATAGAATTTTTGCTAATACTAATGCTATTTTGGTTGTGGTCAACATATTTATTACTTGGAAACACCAAAAATGACATAAAGCACAAAGTACAATTAAGCAAACATGTAACATTATAACAACACACTACATCAGACATGTTTGACAACTGAGTTTGAGTTAGTTCTAGGTTAAAACAATCCATTTATAATATTTTTTAAGATAAAACAACACAAGAAAAAGGACAAAAAAAGAGTGGAAGCCCATATTATAAGATGCCAGAACTGAGTTAGATTGGCTTACCGAAGATCGCACCCTAAGGCAAGAAGAGGAGAGGATGAACGAACGCTCGGTAACTACTGCTACTTCTGTCAGCATGCTTCCATAATATCAAAAACTTTCACTTCAAATCATTAAAAAAATATCTCCATGGACCTAAAAAGCTTCTGGATATGATTTAAAAAAAAAGAAATTGGTAATATCCTTGGTTCCAGTATTTTCTACAGCATGTTCACAGCCCAGTGCGCTCTTGAAGAAATGAGAGAATGAGAGTTGTGGGTTGGACTTTAATCAAATGTGCCCTACCTGTGGTGTCAGATTACAGCTGCTTTGTCACTTGATATTAATAAGGTGTGTATTTAAACAGAACTGCATTTCCTCTTAGGGGAAAGTACCCATGAAAATAAAAATACCGCAGAGTAAAAACGTGGGTGGTTTCAGTGATGATCTTTGAAAAGACAGATATGCAAAAAGGGAAAGTAAGTAGGTAAGTACCATCATTTCCTCCACAAACAACAAACATAACTGCATAAAAACTGCTGTGCTCTGTAGTTAAGATCTATGCAAATGTTGTTCTGAAATGGGATTCTTTTATTAGTTAGTCAGTTCATATTTCAAACTTGTTGTCAAATTTCTCAATGTGTTTAAAATGTAAAATTTGAACAGAATCCTATTATCAAAAAACATAAATTGCAAATCGTGTCGCAAAAAGTGCAATGTTTACCAAATCGTTCAGTTGTTAGGATCAAGATTATTTTGATATTTTAATGTACTTTTTGACAATAATTTCAGTTGTATTAAAACTAAAATGTACATGCCTTCATTTGCTAGTTTTACAGTATGCAGCCCTAGTCTTTAGTATTATGAAAAGATTATGATAAAGTGAGTACAGTAAACAGTATTAGTTTTAGGAATCCCTTCTTACCAGAGCAGTGATATCTCTTGAAAACTTCAGTCCACAGGTAAGGCAAAGGTAAGCAGAGAAAAAAAGGCAGAAGCGATAGAAAAGCATTAGAAGAGAAGACTCTAAATGACAAACAACCTATGACAGATTTAAATAGCTGTGAGTTAGTGATGTTAGTAGAAACATTATAAAAGAAGGACTTCTGTTAAGGCACTGAAATGGAAAAGATCAAGTTTGAGATGTTAGAATTAGAAACATGGATATCCCAGGTAAGTGAATTCTGAATTTTTTACAGTTTTTATCTTTTTACCTAAAGCTTTTACCTCACAATAAAGTGTCAAAATTCGCACTGTAATAAGTTTCAAAAGCAAGAGTTAAAATAATTGTTGCTGTGAGAAATCTCTCTTTAAAAAAAATTGAATAAATCCTGGACTCAATCATTAAAATTTTTACCAGAGAATTTTATCTTACAAAAAAGTGACAAAGTTTCCAGTGTAATCCGCTCCAAGAGTAATTCCTGTATTTGGGTAATTTACTGACCCCTTGTTAAAATTTTATTGATAAAATCTGCGGTTGTGAGACATCGGCAGATTCTCCGTCCACGCGGTATCCAGTATATCCACACAAAAATAAAATAATTTCCTTCTTGGCCCATCACCAGCGATTTCCCCAGAATCCATCAGCGGTAGCAGGTTTAATGTCTTCCAATAAAATAGTTGTCACCCTGCCACAGATTTTTATAGCTTCCTTACAGGCATACTCAGCATTTCTGTCACTCTCACCTGCTGGCTGTGCACTGGCCCCTCCCCCGCGCTGCCTTTGAGAACATTTCAGAAGCACTTGAAGTACACACTAGCCCGCGACGCCTCCTCCATTCCGGGCTACGCGATCATTGGTGCAGCCCTGCCTGACGCACTCCACTCTGGCTCTCTCCCTGCCTTCTGTAAACACCACTTTGACAGGAGTCAGCTGACGGTGGCCACATTCCCTCAGAGCGCAGGCCAGGCCAATATACGGGTCAATAACACATTAAGAAGCTAGGCTGTTACTAACTTCATGCAAATGGGGTAAATACGATAAGTGCTTTATGACGTATGAGCGGGTTCTATATAGTTACAGTATAGAAAGTGTTGGGTAAAAGGGCCTGGAGTTGTGTTTGTTTCATTCACACATGTTTAACACACAAACCCTGCATATTTAGCTTCTGTTCTTCTCTCAAACTCCAATGTGTTTTTAAACTCGATAAACGTTTGCTAAAATCATTTGGATGATTTCAACCCTGGAATTTTCAAGCTGTACTGAACAAAATGTAAAAAGTAGCTGTTGGCTTGAAAAGGACCATTATATGACATCGCAAGGTGGATCAGAGTGTTTTGAGCTTTGGAGATGTAGACTGACTTATAAAAGGATTACTCAAACATGTGCGAATGAAACTAAACACAACTCGACTGTCACAACTGTTTGTGATGAGTTAATAACATTGTAACATGGTTTAAACAGGGTGTCCCCAGGTTTGACTACTCCAAATTTAAGACTTTTTAAAGACCTTTTTAAGACCACTTCAAGGAAAATTAAGACCAACTTCGCACCCATTATGCAGGCGAAAAACTCCAGATCCAGTTCAATCCAAACGTCTTCCTCCATTCTACTGATTGTTTACTCACTGCCGCCAGCGCCACAAACCAAAGTATTGTTTGTGCATACTCCACATTAGACGTTCATTCATGTGATTTCACATTGTTGTTGTTTTTTTTCCTCCATTTAACATTGCACTGAAGCACAGTTGAGTATACAAAAAAATAGGCTAATGAAATTTAAGACATTTGTGAAAAAATAAGACTCGCACAACATAATTTAAGACTTTTTAAGGCCTTAATTTAGGAACATGAAATTTAAGACCTTTTTAAGACTTTTAAGATCCCACAGCTACCCTGTTAAAGCTCACAAGAGTCAATTGTATATTATAGGACCTTTAAAGGGCTGTACCTTTTTTTCATGTAATAACTTAAAGTTTTGTCTCAGTGTAGATATAATGTAAATGCTTCTGTGTGTTTTCTGCATCTAATTATAAAGCAATTGTATCCTCTGTGAACTGGGAATGCTGTTAGCATGCTAAATGTTAGCATTACCGTGACCTGCCATCTTTTTTTCATTTTTAAAACTGTACAACAGTTGGTTATACTGTATATTCATCTATATTGTCCTCTAGGCTTTTACAGCATAAAATGGGAGTGAAGAGCAGGTAAGACATTCACCAATTGAATCGATTGAAAAAGTACACAATTCTACTTGTCTACATGCTAAACCTTTTCCTCTTTTTTGTTTCATCCCAAAAACCAGAGACACATTTCTGTGGCTTTTGGTGTGCTGCAACAAAGCTAACAAGCTATGTGTGGAATGTAGCGACACAGTGGGAACCCAGCTCCATCTCTCCTCCACAAGTGACTCCCAACAGTTGTGACTAACATGTGGCTAGCACGGTGAACCTGCATGGCACTGGAGTATGGCCTGGAGGCTTCTGAGGTTTGAATGTAGCGTGGGCTGATTTTGTGCATGACTGAACGGCTCAGAGCAGTCTGTACATTCTATAGGAGCTGTTAAAGGGACTGAGTCATCTGAGGTGAGATCAAGGCAGAACAAAACAAAGGAGTTTTCTATTGGTATAGTAGGTGTAACAACTGCTGTTTTTCTAAACTGACAGTTACAGATGATATGTATGTGAGAGTCCATGACACATCTTAACAGATTACACATTCTCCTGTAACTCAGGGTACCACTGACTAACAATCGCTGTACCATTGTACAGTCACAGCTTGCATTTTAATTAGTACTGCAGTGGAAGCTGGGTGAGAGAGGATGAGAGCAGCTCCTATCTGAAGATGTCAAGATGAACCAAATATTGAACATTTTATTGTTGTTGTCAATATGACAGTAAGAATATTTCAAGAATAAAGGTCACTGTTTAGGAAACAATAATACTTTGAATTGAATCTACACTCCTCTAGCACTAGCACTTTACATTTATGTACAGCGATATATTGACGTTCTTTTTAAATGACACACTAACATATATTATATTTTGGTTCAGACAGTTCTATTTCTTAAATTGTTTTTAATTAAATGTTATGTTAATTAGTCATCAAACTACTGTAACACTAAAATCTGACTTTGTGACCACCCTATGCCTATAGTCTTGATGATTCTTAAACCTTAGGAGGAGCAGCAAATAGTTTTGAGTTTACTACTTCTGTTGATTGATATACTATTTGATTCCAGAAATAACATTCTCAAGAGTTGCAATTGTTAGAACATAGACAAGCAGACAGGAACAATGACGTTTTGTAGCATGTTACACTATACCAATTTAAAAAAAGTAGTCTAAACTTCATTCAGATTGAAACAAATAAATAAAAAGCACTCAACAGAGGATTCTTTACATACCAGCTGTAGTATGTCCTCGTCCTTTGGCATCACACACAGTTCCAGTGAGGCATCGCTGATGAGTCAAAGGTGTGGGAGAGGAGACAGGGTAAGATACACAGAAATGTCAGAAATCACTTTAGTATCAGGGGGTTACACATATCCTGCAAAAATCTGATCTTTTTAATGAGGCCCCAGTGTGAAGGTGATACATTCTTCAACATGCTGGAGTGATATGTTAAACATTTTCTTTGAAAATTGGGCAAACAAGTTAGAGATAGGCTGAAACTGTTTTTTAAGCCGATACTGTTATTTGCAGATACCAATATTTGGCTTTAATAGCAATATTCAAAATTGTTTTCTATTTCCATTTTGAATCATTAGTCTGTTCAAAAAGACAAATCTGATGCACTAAAGACATATGGGCACACAGAGATGAGGCAGCGTCAAAAAATCTATATCATAATCAAAAAATCAAAACCTATATATTGCCTATCCCTAATACAAGTATATATAAGCAGGCTGAAGACTTTACCTGTTTTGGATCAAGGCAATAACTTGTGAGTATGTCTTTCCAATGATGCTTTCTCCATTGACCTTCACAATGCGATCCCCTGGAAAGAAGTTAAAGGGTTAAAATAATGCTAAACCATCTCACTTCATTTTAAGCACAGCATATTGTTCATTTGAATTAAAAAATATATATATATTGAAATGTCCCTTTTCATTTCAGCAAGGGTTATGTATCTTTGGAAAAAAAAAGATAGACAGTTCTGAAATACTGAGATTACATTTGAAAAAGTCTCAAGAAGATACAAAATTCTTCTAATTAATCTTGCTGGCTACAGTAACATACATAGCTAGAAATTAAAGGTCCACAATGTTTAGTTGAGGGTCCATCACCTCCTTGTTTCTATGGAGATGTCATTGCTCTGCCTGGAATGTTCCACAGTATGACATTAAACAGCTCTACCTTACATTTATTAAAGTATAGATGGTTTTATAGCTCAAAAATACCTAGACAAACAGGCATTCTGACTGTGAGCGGGGTCGCCTCTCTGCAGATCTGACCTGTAACTTGATCTGGTATGGTCTCCATGAAGATAGAAAGGTTTAATTGCATACTGTGAAACATTCCAGACAAAGCAATAACATCTCCATCAAGAAAAGAATTTGACCCTAACCCTCTATCTGAAAAGTTACTCAGTGCACCTTTAAATTAAATAGTTGTTTAATTTAAGATCCTGCTAAAATTGTTACTGTGGGTGCTAATGTTTACACACTGGTTAGTTATGGTTATAGATGTAAATGGTGTACGGGAAATTGCATATTTGTATTGCACTTAAAATTAAGCAGTGTTTAATTTCTCTAAACAAACTTGTAATATATGTTTAATGTTTTCTATAAAAAATGATAATAAATATACAGTCTGATCTTGAAGGATTTGTGGAGGTGTATTTAGTGAAGAAACCAGATAACAGTGGGAAAGGCTGCTAGGTACTTCCCAGCAGAGGAGATGGGACAGATAAAAGCAGACAGCTCTGAAGGCCTGTCCAGACCACTTAACATTTTCACAGAACCGGAGTGCGAATCGAGCACTAAAGCTGACAGGAAGGACACTAAGCTTTCAGTAGAGACACTTCCAACTCAATCTGAAGCTACGAAGTGAAGGATGCAATCAATCTATTAACACCTCATACACCCATCTACAGCTAGGATTGAGACAGTATGGTGTCATAAAGTAATTGAAGATCCTATAAACTGTGTGTGATGCATTTTTAAATGCATTACTCACATAAATTGTACTGTACTGCATATAACAATTTTTTGATGGCAGTTTGTTTATTTATTTAACTATTTATATTGTTATTTTTAATATTGTGTAGTACTGCTTTAGTATTTATGTAATTTCTAACTTGGTTATATATCGGTTGCCTGATTCATCAGCCAGTTTCTCTTCTTAGAAACTGTCTGACCTCGCAGTGTTACAATTAGTTCGCTCGACAATAGGCGAGTACTTTTGTTATTTAACCAATCGCTGCTGTTTGGTAGTCACGTATGTAATATGCCGCTAACAGGGCTAACTGGTACATTTATATTAGCTTTTCCCAAATCCTGTAGGAAGAAGGGCAATAACGTCTTTCCGCTTGATAAAATTCACCAAACATTCTCTTTATTCCAGCTTTAAATCCTGGATCTCGGGAATCGTTGACAACACTGAATATATGACTCTTCGCTGACTGGCTGATTCCCGGACTCGCACTTCCAGGGTTCTTGCAAACCGTCTAGTGCAGGGGTCTCAAACTCAAATTACCTGGGGGCCACATTAGATAAAGTCTGAGTGAGGCTGGGCCGCATTGAGTATTTGATAAATAGCTGTTGCACGGGAAAAAAAGGAGAGAGAAAGAACAACACGCAACACACTTTCTTAATCTTTAATAACAGTTCAGAACATGAAAATGTATTCAGAACGTAAGTTTAAACTAATGCGTCTACTCTTCTTCTTTTGCCTACTCCTTGCTGGTTGAAACCTGGCTACGCTTCATCTTGCACAGCTGAGAGATATTTGGCTTGCAGGAGGAAGCAGATCCTCAGGAGAGATTGAAGATGCTCATCAGTGACCCTTGACCTGTATGGTGCTTTCACACCGACAGTATTTGGTGCGCACCAAACGATCCATTCGAACCAGAAGTGGTTAGCTCGGTTCGTTTGCGTTGGTGTGAAAGCATCAATCGGACTCTGACCCGGACCAACTCAAGTGGACCAAGACCTCAAAAAAGAGGTGGTCTCGGTTCGCTTGAATCCGCACCAAATGACCAACTTTGGTGCGGTTCTTCTGGTGTGAACACGAACCCGGGTCCAAACCACAGACAGCAGGTCCAAACGAACTATTCTAGATGCATCATGGGAGAAACATGTCTCCTGCCTGTAATGACGCTGTACGACTCCAGCGCAGTAACAGATTGTTGTCCAGACGCAGCCGCGATTCATTTTCGAAATATTTTACCAACAATGGCCAATACAGAGAATGTAACACACGAAGATCAGAGCAAGAACGTGCGAACGTGTGGCTCCAGAGTGAGTCAAAAATGGAGGTGTGTACTTCTGTTCAGGACCTGCACAGAGGTCCCGGTGTTCCCCGTGATCATGTAGGAACCAGCATTTGTTATTTTAGGCTTTAATTAACCAAATAATTTTATGGCAATAGGCAATCACCCATTCAATTGATTCACCTTTAAAAAATGTCCTGCTTTTAGCCTAGTGTGAGAAATACAGTCGGACTAGATCCAAACCGGAGTCCCGAACCAGCGGGAGCAGCTCCGGTTCTGTCCGGGCTCAGATGACGTGGAGCGGGGGGTGAAAAGCGCTTTCCCCAGGAAGAACCAAATGCGGACACCAACTAAACTGGATTCACGCTTCTGTCCGGATGCTGTGCACCACCTCGGAACCAGCCGCGGTTCTTGAGCGCGGAGGACAGGAGCAGCACAGACCTCTAGGTGTAGTCCACAGCGCATTCTCACTTTCCCCGCACGGAACACGGAACCAGCGCGCAGACGGCGGAACGTACCCGCTCAGACCCAGTCATTGCGCACTGGTCTTGCTCGCCACCGTCTGGAACCAGCACATGGAGGATGGAGCCTCCGGACCATCTGACCAACGCGCTTGTAGGACGACAGAAAACCAAGGACCAGACTCCAGCCCCGTCCTGAGGAGCTCCGCGCTACGCTGAACGCTGTTGGCTGCTGCTGTTACCCGAACTCAGAACTGATGCGGTGAGTTTGTACAAAGTTCTACGTTGCTGTTTTATGAGTTCGTGGTGATAATTTGAGATGAGGACGCCTGCGGTATTAACAGGGAACATCAGTATTGGTTACTGGAGATATCGCTGTTCTACCGGGATACAGAGGCTCGTTATTCGGACCAGTTTTGGTTCGTTTGCCGGTGTGAAAGCGCCACACTGGAGTGTATCTGCTTCTCGTATGTCAAACATGGATGTTAGACGCTTGTTTTTGCCTCGTACTTTTTGCTAACATGTCGCCAAGCCTCTGGAATAGATCACTGCAGTTTTGTGGTGCTTGCATATTGATGGGACAGCTGTGTTTGCCGCTGAGTGCGCGTGGATTTCGGCGACACATATGTGGAGTTTGGTCATCGTGTTGCCAGCAAGTTACGCACCGAGTGTTGAACAGGTAAACAGACTGTCAGTGTCTTTTTATTTCTTATTAGCCCCTCCAATAAAGGTCCCACACTTATGAACAGGGGAATTCTGTCAGCGCCTCCTCTGCGCTCTGATACTGTGGTTGTGGGAGCGTAAAGTGAAGTGCGCACACGTGTACCACCACGTGTGGTTTGTTTTGGTTCTTCGGTGACGCCGTATGTGCACGTGTACTTGTATTAACAGATCCACTTAGACTCGTTGCTTCACAACTGCTGTAAATTGAGTTTTGGGATGTAAACTGCGTTAATAATCTGTTGTGAATCTGCATGGGCACCGACTGCAGCTTCATCTGTCAGTGCGGCCCGCGGTAGGGGGTTGGGATTGTGCGTACATCTACCGCGGGCCGCACTGACATTATTCTTTGGAATCAAGTGGAGGGCCGCAAAAAATCCTTCCGCGGGCCGCAGTTGGCCCCCGGGCCGCGAGTCTGAGACCCCTGGTCTAGTGTATTTGGATTCCTGACCTAGTTGCTGAAGAGAAATGAAAGTGAGCGGAGGCACTAGGTAGCGCCAGCCTGGCTAATATATCGGAAGAATTTTGTCTCATTGTGACATTATTCATCATCATCATCAATTTAATAAAAATTATTGACTTATCTTTCAAAATATGACATATTGTTTTTTGTTCAATTATAATTATATGTAGCTTCATTTTCTTAGTGGGGCTCTTTCATTATTGTTGTAATGTTTTATTGTTGCTTTGCCTAGAATGTTCCACAGAATGGCATTAAACTTACCTAACTTTTAAATGCCATACTGGTGACCATTCTAGGTAAAACAAATTAATCTCCATGGAGACCAGCCTGTGACACACCCTCACTAGAAAAGTTACAGTATGCCTTTAAAAAAATGGGTGAGAGTAAGTAATTTTCTGCAACAATATATCAAACTTCAAAATTTGTTTTGGTGGCAGGCCTAGATATACAGTACAGTGTAAGAATGTACAACTACCAATATGGGAAAGCTACATCCTTGATTCATTTAAATTTTGATTTTGAAGCCAGTAACTTTGCACTCAACCATCGCTCACACACTGTCCCTTTAACCTTGCCAAATGAAAAATCTCTCAGCTTGATAGATGAAATTCTACCAAAACTAAATTAGCTAAGGTCGCAATAACAGTTTGCATATTACAGTGTGTTCAGCCTCCCACGAAGCAGCCCATCTGTTATCCTCTAACTTAGAACTGTTTGGCCTGGCAGGTTACAAGGAGGTGGAATTGGCTGCAGATGTGAACCAGTGTGGGGTGGGCATTAGAATACACTATTACGAAACTAAGGAATAGATTCGATACTCAATACCGATTCTGATACCACAATGATAATAAAAACACTCTTTATTTAGGTAATAACATTTTCAAGATTAAATCATAGTACTTTCTTTTCTGTTCCCATGTGGTCTTATATCTGTGTGATCCCTCAGTGGTCCAGGTAGGTTCCATAGTGGTCCATGGGCGTATACTTGTCTATGTGCTCTTATACTTGCTCTGATACAACTCAAGATCATCCTAAAGCTATTCAGGAAAGGTTCATTTTTGTCCTGTAAATGAGACTTTTTTAGAATTTATATTTGTTCAAAATAGTTATAGTATTGATCAATATCTGATTTTCAACCCTCCTAAGATATAGGCTAAGTGCTCAATATCGATTCAGATGCCAGGATGATAAAAAACAATATTTAGACTGTCCTGTCCTGAATATTGTTTCCCAAAGACTGGGTCGCGACCCTCAGGTGGGTCATAAGAGATTTTTTGGGGATGCCTTGTCACAATCTGCATGTAGGTCTGCAATATACACTTCTGCCTATACGCCTGATCTGCTGCTATTCTCTCTTCCTGCACCCCGGACTGGAACGTGCTATAAAAACACAGACAGGCCCACCTATCTCACTAGAAATGTTAAGACATGTTTTGTATCATTTCTAATCTTTTTATAATTATTTTATGGACTATTTTGTTCCAATATTGCTGGTTCAATTGAATGTTGAAAAGAAAAAGAAATGAGCTACATTTAATGTCCAAACAGGCAACTTATGGATCCTTTTATTGCTGCTTCAATTTCATTGTTTAAAACTTGAGTAATACTAATTGTTCAGAGACACGATCACTCAGTCAACAATAAAATATCCTCATTAATGTTCAATAATGCTCAAATCCACCTTTATTTTGTGATTTACTTGACTTGGGACTTGGGTCGAGAAGGTTTGTAACTTTTAAAATATGGGTCCCCAGAAAAAAAGGTTTGGGAAACACTGGTTTAGACAATAAAATGTGATTTTCAACATTAAAGAATAGTACTTTCTTCTAAATTATCATGTAGTCTCTATATATCTGTGTAATCCCTGAGTGGTCCAGGTTCCATAGTGGTCCATGAGCATTTATTAGTCTATGTGCTCTTATACTTGTTCTGATATAGCTCCAGATCATTTTAAAGCTATTCAGGTAAGGCATTTACTGTCATTGCTGAGAATTTAATTTGAATACTAGTTTTAGCAGCAATTAGTAACTGATTTTTGATACTTCTGAGTGAGGTGAGTTGGAGAGGGTCTAGCAGACCTGTGCAGAGTCCAGCTCCGTGGGCGGGTCCCCCCTCCTTCACTTGCTTGACGAAAATCGTGTCCATTGGCTCCAGACGGTTCCGCTGTCTCCCTGGCAACGAGAAGGAGCACACACGCACAGAGGCGATTGGTCACACAGAGAGGAAGAGGAGCAAAACTAGGGCGCTTTAATCGGAAATAGAATAAATTATAACAGTTATGTTGTTTATAAGCATATTGTTCATTCAAATTGTATATGGGTAAAATGATAGAAAATTATCAGGTTACTTAAATGGAAATACCAGGTGCTGTTTGAAGTCATCGATTGTATTTTTGGGTTGAAAATATCCTGCCAGTCTATATATCTTTTGTCAGTTTTATTATTTCTTATTGGTAAAAACACTTTGTAATTTAAAGCTATGATTGCTGATTAACATCAAAATGTGTAATAAAAGCTGTATAGTAAAGCAACTGCAACTGTTATTCTTATTTCTCTGTGGAGATGCAGCTATCTTGCTTGTTTTTTCAATTACGAGTGTTTCAAAGATCTAAAAAGATACCTTGAAATATCTGGATTTTTACTTTAAAATGTGTTGCCTCTCCACAGATTTGACTTATAACTTGTAAAAGCAGGTGGCAAAACCAAAACGTTACATAGCGCATCTTAAAATACAGTAGTTTATTTTACAGGAAATCATTTGACCCTAAAATGTATCAACAAATAAAAACAAATAGAAAGAAGCTACACGTAAATGGATGCAGTGCAGATTCTAATGGGCTTGTGTGTATCCCATAGACTTGTGTGTATCGCATAGGCTTGTGTGATCTGATGTGTTGTGAGTGACACAACAAGACAGAGCAGAGGTCATACTGTGCTGACAGAGCTCTCACCACTAAGGACAAGGTTTCATATGGAGACAAGAACCAGGATGCCATGTTATGTTATGAGGGTATTTAGGGACAAACACCACTCAAAAAAATCTATGTGAATGACACTGTAATACATGACATGTCGTTGTGTAGAATCTCGTCAATATGACAAAAAATCTGTCTTCAGTTTTTGATTTGATTTAATTTGAATCTCCTGAACATAAACAAGGCAGACTTTTAATTACTGCCATTTAAAGGTCCTATATTAAGCAAAATATTGACTTGCGAGCTTTGTTAGAATGTTGTTACCTCATCAAAAACATACCTAGTGTTTTGTTTTACTCACACCTTTAACACATGAGTAACGCTGTATTATTCAGTTGTCTACATCTCCAAAGCTCGAAAATGCTCTGTTTCACATCACAGGTTTCAAGTTAACAGCTCCTTTTATCTTTTGTTTAGTAGAGCTTGGCAATTCCAGGGATAAAATTATTCAAATGATTCTAGTGAAAATGTATGTAGTTTAAAAAAAACAAAACACTCCGGAGCACTTCCTGTATTACCACATGAAACCATAAAGAAGACCACAGTGTTTTCTGTTGGACAGAAGAACTCAGACTTAATATGCAGGGTTTGTGCGTTAAATATGTGAGAATGAAACAAAACTACAGGTATGTTTGTAACATTACAACTTAATATGGGCCCTTTAACACAATATCACATAAAATTTCTTCCCCTAAACCACATACTTTTACTGACAGAGGATTGTGGAAGCTGTGGACCTCTCCATTAAAAAGACCTAAGCCTATTATAAATGACTGAATCTCAATTAAAATGTGATTAATTGCACAGCCCTACACAATAATTTTGTGATATTTACTATTTGATTATCTGCTGGATCAGTGAATCAGCAAATCAGTGAATCAGTGAATCAGTGAATCAGCACAAGAGCAATGCACTGTAGTCCCGTTATCAGCTATGTTTGTTGTCCATATACCGTATTTTCCGCACTACTGGGCATTCTGGATTATAAGGCGCACTGTCACAGAATGGTCTATTTTAGAACTTTTTTTCACAAACAAACCGCACCGGACTTTATATGAAACACAACATTTGGATGGGTCAGTGGGACTTTGTTTGGCGCGTTCACGGTGACTCTGGGCTTTGTTCAGTTGTGGCGTGTAGGGAGGGTGCTGTCTGGGACCGCTGGATTGTTGGCGTGTTTGCAGTGACTCAGTTGTTCAGTTGTGTCTAGAAGTGGCACATTGCGCTCGCTTTTTCAGTTTATTCCTCAGTTCCGTTCCTCGTCGGCGTGGAGTGATGAGTGTGGCTGCGGGTGTTTTTCGCTGCGCGGTTGCCATCTGCTCCGTGTGTGTTTGCGTGCACTATGGGTGGTGTGGCTTTGTAGTTTACTGAAGTCGTGCTGGGACACCCGAGTGGATTCGTGTATAGGGCGCTCTGGATTGCGGGGCGCACAGTCGTTTTTTGATGGGGTTGGAGGCTTAAGAGTATGCCCAAGGGTGCAGAAAATACGGTACTGTACTGCTACTCATAATCACAGTCATACATTGGACTAAATAGCCTAGTAGCCTTTTTTCTTATTTTACTTAATTCAGAATATAGAATTTATCAAAATCAAGGTTATCAAAATCAAATTAGGCTATATTTTACATCTAAATTGTTATATTTCATGTCATGTTCACATACTATCATGTATTTTTGCATATATTTCATGTTTTTGTGCTACTGCTTGTGCTGTGGTTTTGTAATATCAAACTGTGGGACAAATAACAGTTCTAATATCAATAGCATCACACACTTCCTTGGTCTTTGATAGCACTTTAATAAAGCATATGAGGTTGGTTAAGATCCTGGCTCGGTTTCAGAGTCCCTGGGAACATAAGCCACAATCTGATTTGGCCTGTGTTGGCTGAGAGCTGAGAGCTGAGGGCGGAGAGAGGAAGAGGAGCATGCAGACATCCCACTCCTCTCCTCTGGGAGCTCTGAACAGCACTGGTCCTGTTCTAATAAATGCACCATCAGAATGAGCAGAGAATTACTGTTGCAATGGCTCGGAGTAATAGTGTGTGTAACATTCAAAATTACACATGACATTTTTGCCTCAAGAATAATAAATATAAATCTTATTATTTAAAGCAATACCAGGTTTGTGGAGATGCAAGTCTGCTCACAGTAAGGGCGCATGCTTTTCTAATTTTTTCGGTGCAACAAAAAAGCAAAACAAACAGTTTCTCTATTTTTTGGCTAAAAAGTTACACAATGAGGCTTTCAATATTTTTTGTAGCACCTTTCCATTAGAGACTCAAAGCACTTTCTATCAGTGAACAGTACGCATTCACTTACATCAGTACACACAGACAATATAAGATGTCAGGGCTCCATTTCCTTTACATTTTTCCATTTTGACTCACAAATAAGGCCGGGCTCGATCCCCAAGTTGCCTGGGCCTTTCTGTGTGGAGTTTCTGGATGGGTTTCCTCTGGGTGCTCTGGTTTCCCTCATCAACCCAAAACATGCAATATAAGTCTCCAGGAAGAACAGTTGATAGACAAGGTCAATTAAATACAATCAATCAATGAACCTGCCCAGGGACTACAGGTGGAAATTGGCACTGGCAACAACTTGGTACAATGCATCTCTCCTGTTAAGGTTAATGTAAATTGTGCACTGTCCCTGTCTCATTAAATAAATAAAATAAACCTAGGTCACAATACGAAACATATCTCGATACAGTGCACTTTTGGGTCGAAACGAAATATATTTCAAATCAATATGATATGGTTCAATAAAAAATAAAGGCTAAATCATGGCTGTGATACTAAAAGTCTTTGTTAAACCACTTCTCGTGCAAAGTGAATATGAAACACAAACATTTTACTTTACATTTTACTTAACAGTGAAAATGTGTCGCATAAAAAAGTTGTTTTCCACTAAAAAGGCAACAAAACTGTAGCACTGTAACGAAATAATTTAGTTAAATATACCAAAAAATACTCCTATATATCGATACAGCAGCCACAATATCGATACTGTACCATCACAAACGATACGATATATGGACATTTCAATATTTTTGCACACCCCTACTCATGTTATTTGTTATGCCACACACCACAAACCACACACTATCCAGATATGTCCAACAAGTACACAAACTGTAATGTTTTAAGTGCAGCAAACATAGCAACATAGGTAGCAAAATACCAGTAGGTTCTCAAAATTCTGTGAAGGTCAACTTTCAATTCACTTCACTCAATTCACAGTGAATGCTTACATCAGACTCATGCAAGTCACTTTTTATCCAGCAGAAGGCAGTATAACCCCTATCATGAACTACATCTCCTGGTCTATGCTGTCAGGAGAGCTAATACTAGTTATTTCATAGGTTTAAAGTCAACAGCACTTCACTGAGGCCAGTTTCTTAGCACAAAGCCAATCGCGGTGTGTCTAAACCAGGCTCTACAAATTGGATTGTGAGTTCCTCTAGGCCACATCTGGATGAGCAGGATTAAAAGTGGAAATCTACAGCTTTAGACATTTTAATGCTCCCAACTGTCTTACCAAAGCAAGACATGAGTGGATTAACTAAACTGTAGTAGAAACCAGGCAGTGGACGAGTTAGAGCAGACTTTTTTCCACTTCGCACATCATTTATGTTTATGGACCTTAAGTTACGGTAAAATAAAAAGAATGGTTGTTGGCGAACTTGAATCGTTTCCTTGTTGTAAATACAGTTGACCATTCATGCAGAACAAAGTGCGGTAGATGAAGTGAGTACTCCAATCAACAGGGCTGGGAGTCACTGGGTTCTTCTCAATTCAAAGTGATACACAATATATGGCTCATAATGACAGAAGAGAATATGACCATTTCCAGTAAACGCGGAATATTCAAAGTGATATTATCTGACATGTCACTATTTTTAAAGAACTACTTACAAAAGTATTTCTTATTTAAACCAGTACCTCCATAAAACTGAATTACACCCATTTTAAACTGAATATGTCAAATGTACTGCTCAAGTTTTCTTTTTCTAATGGTAAATGGTCATATTTTTATAGAGCTTTTCCATCTTCAAGGCATTCAAAGTGCTTTACATCAAGGAACCACTCACATTCATCCATGCAGACACTGGGAGCAAGGTGGGTTAAGTGTCTTGCCCAAGGACACAGCAACAGCATTCATCTGTGGGAGCTGGAATCGCACTGCCAACCTGTGGGT